ATGGCCTTGTATGACCAAAACATGTCACAAAAATAAAATAAAATGTGATTTTAATGACATTTTAGAAAAGTTTATGTTGCATTAGAGATGGAAACAAGTGGACGAGGGATGTATCAGTATAACAGGATGATGAAATATAATGTTTATATATAGCACGAGAGACTGATCTTGAGAGTTGTGAGGAATACAAGAAGTCGGAACCATTAAAGGCATGGTAGCAGCAGCAACTACTACCTGAGCCAAAGCACAGCTGTTTTGTGTTCAGTTGTGCACTACGCAAGCATGCTAATACTTTCTAAACTGATACTATACACAACAGGGAAATCTGTTTCTATCCCTTCAACCCACATCTCACTTCATCATTGTGCAAGATTCTGTACCAATACTTGGATCTCACTGGGCATACTATGGTTACATATAGGATGTTGATGCCCCGCGTGGCACTGAAATAGAACTGCCAACTGTTCTCTGCATAGTCCTTGCCATGGGAACTTCAAATCCAACAGATTTTGTAACAGTTTGTTGGCAGTTCTGTAAAGACTGAAATTGCATGAGTATTCTATACTGTTTAAATGATGAAATATGAATAATTTCAGTGCAGCCAGGGACCATGAAATATGCAACATATAATTTTCAGTGTCCAATCCAGCTCTGCGGCCCACCAAGCCTCCTATCCAGTGGATGCTGGGGGATTTTTCCCTGGGGTAAAGTGGCAGGGGAGTGAAGCTGACCACTCACTTCCAGCTAGTGCTGAGGTCAGGAATGGTGGAGCTATACCTCCACTCCCTGTACGTCTTTATGACATAGTGCTTAATTAATTAACTTTGTTATAAGACAAACTGTTGTAACTATAAATTGCATTGTCTGTGATGGGCATAGTTGTGGCAGCTTATGCAGTCACAGGTTCAGATTCCATCTAGGTCACTTATATTCATTGATTCTCTAAAGATTTGTGGCTTTTGATTAATAATTCTAAACATTAAGTTGGATATTGTCCATTCTGTGGGGTATATTTGATATACAGAACTTTAGGGAGATAAACACTATACTCTTGCTGCCATGTCATTAGCTATCATAGCTATCATTCTGGATCATTTGAATACCAGGCTGTTACAGCTAATAACTCGACCAATATGGCAGCTGAGAAATGGCTGTTGTTATCACTTCACTCATACTTTGACTTCCTGTCTCTTACACTAGATGGTCTATATGGAACTTCTATTTGGACATGTTCTGTTGGTTTACCTACTCCTTCAGTTTTCACATGATGCTATTTTCTTGTCATTGGTATCTATGATATCCTAGAATGAGGTCTATATGTCTTGTCATGTGATCTCAGTTAAGTTGTTTTAAACCCAGTGTTACGCACAGACAGGTCACATTTTGGTCACATGCAAGAGCAAATTTGAATTAAAGTTTTTATTCAAATTTATCCAGTAAGGATATTGAGACTGGCTGTGCTCCCAGGAACCTGTGACTGCTGAGGCACAGAAGTTAGGCTTCAATCAGCACCAGGATAGAAGTGTCTTTGAACTTACTACTTCTATTCAATCTCAGCATTTTTCAAAGTTATTTAAGATTTAATATGTGCCACTATACAGGGTGTCCCAGGAAGAATGTGCCAAACTTCGGGAGGGTGTTCCTTATGTTAAAGTATGCCGATATAACCCAAAACACATATGTCCAAAGTTGAACGGTTACAGAGATAATGGCCCGAGAAAAGTGTGGTCTTCTGGCAGGTCCACGCACTATACCTGTCAGCTGAGACGTCTTCTCTATGTTTGTCCTTGAGTGTGGTGATTCACACTAGCCGTAAGCTTATGTGCTCCCCTCAGGATATGTTGCGGCCGTGTTGTGAATGGGTGGTAGGTTAATTGTGCAGAGTTGCTGAAATGCCTTTTTTGTTTTCACACATGGAATATTGTGATATGCATTTTGTGTGTGGATTTTGCGGTGGCAATGCACGTGCTGCTGTTGAAGAATACCAGAGGCGTTTTCTCCATCGAAGGATTACATGTCGAAGTGTATTTACGCGAATTCACCAGACATTTCATGATACTGGTTCTCTTCCAAGTGTTTCTGTGCACTCTGAAAGGGAGGATGTACGAATGATAAACACAACGAGAGAACATTCTTGAGATGATTCAGAGAAGTCCACGTCTGTCCACTCGTAGAATGGCTTCTCGCATCGGCGTATAATGTATGCAGGTGTGGCAAACTTTACATGATGAAGAGTTGTATCCTTACCATGATCAAAGGGTACAACATCTGGAACCAGGCGACCATGCACAGCGTATGGATTTGTGCCACTGGATAAAAGCTCATCCCGAACTGTTAAGTGTCATTTTATTCAGTGATGAGGCGTCTTTTACCATGGACGGTGTAAATAATTTACGAAATGTGCATACGTGGTCCCATAATAATCCACATGAGATAAAGGAAACGAAATTCCAAAAGATATCTTCCGTGAATGTACGTTTAATACAGTTATGTAGTCTGTTTATACCACTATGCGCACTCAGCCATGTTACATCAGGGCTTGCCAGTCATGTGTTATGTATAGTGCTTGGAAACCTAAGGACAATTATGACATGGCGAGCGAGTATTTTGTACTTCAGTTTTATGGCTTCATGTCACTCACAAGTTAGTTTGATGTTACGTACATTATTAACATTACAGAAACCACATATTCTTGCCAGTTTTAATATGTATTTTGTAATCAACAAGTGTGTAACAGCGGTCAAAGTTTCACACTTCTCTGGCCATTATCTCCGTAACCGTTCAACTTTGGACATAGGTGCTTTGGGTTATATCAGCATACTTTAACATAAGGAACACCCTCCCGAAGTTTGGCACATTCCTCCTGGGACACTCTGTATATGTGCAAATAAATTTGTTTAGTGAAAATTAAACCCAACAAATAGAAAAAATCTTTGTATCTGTTACTATTCTCACGTCCCCCCCCCCATTGGTAACAAACAGTAAACTGTATGAAGATTACTGTTTTCTGAGACATTCATTCATTCATTTACATTCCATGGATCCTTACATGACTGGAGGACCAGTTGATATACAAAGAGTCAAAGACAACAGAACAAATCCCATCAATTATATAAATAAAAATTAATTGTACGTAATCCTTAGCAATTACACATATTATCCAAGACTGCCATATAGTCCAGCAGAAGCTCACTGATGTTTTGGAGGAATGTTGGTGAACTTCTGTAAAACTATGCGATGTCACATCCCAGTGTTGGTGCTGTAAGAACCTGAAATCAAACATAGTAAATGATATCTTGTGTGCATACTGTGTAATACAAGGTGTTCATGTGTTGTTTGATAAAAATGGAATGTTTGGAATGGATTGGGCAAGCACAGGTACTCTTATGGAGAAATATCTGGAGAGCAGAATTTATGCCAGACTGGTGAACTTAGCCATCATTTGTATAATTTGGAAAAACATATATCAATGTTTTGGATATTGGCGTTTCTGGGTTGACATTGTGTAGTCTGTAAGGAGATGTCCATTCTCCAGAGTACTCAGTGTTAGGACTCAGGAAACCATAATCCAAATGTATAACAGATTATTAATGCCGACCACTGTGATTGATACATTTTTTTTGTCCTTTACATGTTTTGGTCGGAGCAGCTGTCTTCAGAAGGACATATCAGTACATGTGGAAACTGCTATTACAATGTCATTTGTCAGCATTAATAATCTTTCATACTATTACTAGTGTGACAGACCAGGATGAACCAAGTCATAATCCAAATTTCCACCACTCTCAAAACCTCAAATATGAATAATGCTAATGCATAAATTAAAAAACAACATTCTACATCTGTTTTGTACAGTGGCAAGACATTGGTATAAACATGATTATGAGATGCCCATGTCTTTCATAAAGTAGACTGGCCTTGTGGAATTTGAGACTCTGATAGCAGTGATTATGAATAATACAATCTTCTGGCCTATAATGCCGTATACTTCAGTAGGAGAGTCCGCTGATAATTCAGAGGGACTTATGGGTGGATGTGATACATTGCTCCAAAACATCTGTGGACTGCTACCAACCTATGTGATATTACAACCTAGCAGATTATACCTTTTTTAGAGACTGATATTAACTAACATATTCTTAGGGTAATTAACACATTCCTATAAAACTGAAATGATTGTAGTTGGTTTATAGGACTAGAATTGTTATAATCCATCTTTATCTACACTAATTTTATTTATGCTTCTAAACTAGTGGCAGTTGCAAAGTATGCTTCATAAATGCTAATATCCTAATATCTTCATGTATATAGTGGTGCTATACTCTGTCTAAAATATCTTTTGAGGGGGCATCATCAGTAGCATGAGCTTTATTATTTGTAAATATAAATGCTGTTGGTGTTGTGAAGGTTGGCATTAAATTGTGCGTCATATAAGTGATGGGAGTTGGGATCGCTGATTTGGTACAGCGACATGCTGAATAACATGGATTCAATTCCTGGCATGGCAAGATTTTTCTCTTCTCCATAGCATCTAGGCTGGCTCTAGGGCCCACCCAGCCACCTGTCCAATGGGTATGGGGGTGGGGAGCTCTTTCCCTGGAGATAAAGTGACTGGGGTATGAGAGCTGATCACTCACATCCAACTAGTACTGATGTCAAGAATAGTGGAGCTATACCTCCACTCCCCCATATATCTTAATGGCATGATGCTAAATTAATTATGCATAGGGCAACTTATAAATGATGATGCCTAGGAGTGCCATATGGGAGATTTTGTTGAACACTGATAATGTCTTCTGCCAGGTTGCCTGCTCAAAGTACGATATAACCTTAAAAAATATTTTAGACAGGGTCTAATAATATGTCTTTAAAATGTTATAAAACTATCTGAAGGCATTTGAAAATAAGATTTTCCCTAGACCCCTAGTGTCTATATATCACTTGCTTATGCTGACTAGATATATTTATATTTCACTCTAAGCATGTGTTGTTCATTGCAGGGGAATGACAGTTACTTCCGGTAGTGTCACAATTACTAAAGACAACTCCAACTTGATTGGCATCAGCATTGGTGGTGGGGCTAGTCTGTGTCCATGCCTCTACATAGTGCAAGTAAATATGCAGCATGCCATTATGCAACTTGCAGTACTGTGGTTTAGTCTATAAATGTGTAGACAGGTGACAAGATGCTACAGAGCATAGAATTTCTACTGGTCTCCACTCTTAAATGTAATCTTTGTTTCCTTCATTGATTCAGTTCAGTATAGCACAGTAGGTAAGGTAAAAGGTAAAAGTGTCCCTGTGATGAACTAATTAAGCACTGTGCTGTGAAGATATTTGGGGGAGTGTTTGCATAGGTGCATGTGTTCTTTACCTCAGCACCAGTTAGAGGTGAATGGGCAGCTTCACACTCTGGCCATTTTACCCCCCCCCCCCTTCCTGGGAAAGAGCCCCGTGGTACCCCTTGGATAGGAGGCTGGTTGGGCCTCAGAACTGTTCTGGCCAACATGGGGAGGAGGAAAATCTTGCCCCTATTGAGACTTGAACTGTGACCCCCGCGGCCGTGTAGCCTGTAGCCAGTCACTATACCATGTGTGCTATTTAGCTCCTTGACACAGTAGGATTGTCCCATGTAACTCCAGGTTTTCACAGAATAGGCCCCTTCTCTATGAGTTCTACATTATGTTAATACTGCTTTGAATACTTTCCTTCTGTTGATCCACTCCACTCACATGAGCTGCATGGACTGGCTCAGCAGTTGTATTTTTCTCAGCAAGCTGGTTCCTCACTTCATAATCATCCTATTTGAGCGAGCTGGTTCCTCACTTCATAATTATCCTATTTGAGTGAGCTGGTTTCTCGCTTCATAATCATCCTATTTGAGCGAGGTGGTTTCTTACTTCATAATCATCTTATTTGAGCAAGCTGGTTTCTCACTTCATAGTCAACCTATTTGAGCGAGCTGGTTCCTCACTTCATAATCAACCTATTTGAGCGAGCTGGTTCCTCACTTCATAATCATCCTATTTGAGCGAGCTGGTTTCTCACTTCATAATCATCCTATTTGAGCAAACTGGTTTCCCACTTCATAATCATCCTGTTTGAGCGAGCTGGTTCCTCACTTCATAATCATCCTATTTGAGCGAGCTGGTTTCTCACTTCATAATCATCTTATTTGAGCAAACTGGTTTCCCACTTCATAATCATCCTGTTTGAGCAAGCTGGTTTCTCACTTCATAATCATCCTATTTGAGCGAGCTGGTTCCTCACTTCATAATCATCCTATTTGAGCGAGCTGGTTTCTCACTTCATAATCATCCTACTCGAGCAAGCTGGTTTATCACTTCATAATCATCTTATTTGAGCAAACTGGTTTCCCACTTCATAATCATCCTGTTTGAGCAAGCTGGTTTCTCACTTTATAATCAACCTATTTCAGCGAGCTGGTTCCTCACATCATAATCAACCTATTTGAGCGAGCCGGTTCCTCACTTCATAATCATCCTATTTGAGCAAGCTGGTTTCTCACTTCATAATTAACCTATTTTATCGAGCTGGTTCCTCACTTCATAATCATCCTGTTGCTTGCTAATTCTCTTTCTGCCCAGAAGTTATACTTTCTACCTGCTCCATTTGCCCTTCATTCTTACCTCTGTGACCACATTGAGTTCCTCCAGTTGATTAATGTCTTGGGTATTATACCGGCAACGTTGATTAGTAGTCAGGTGGGATGGTTGGTCAAAGAATATTCACCTTGGCTCATGATAGGTGAATGATGTCTTTCAGAATTTCCTTTAGCTGGTGAATTCTAAATTGGTTTTAGGCTGTATCTGTTGGGCTTACCTCCAAGATGTTTGTTGGTTCATTCCTACAGAACAACCAGCCATATGCTCCCACTCCTCTCACCCCACCCTGTTTACCCAAAATATTGGTTCATATTTATTATCTGTGTTTGTTATTGGCTGTAGTCCATACTATTTGGCTGGTTATATAGCAAGGCAAAACTGCACCAAGATTGATACTTGTAACCATAAAGACTTACTCTTCACATATTAAGGTTTGGATATATATATATATATATATACACACACACATACTTGTTTTTGAGTTCCATTACAGTTGTGTTTACTGATTCATTTGTATTGTTCCCTTTTACTGAGGAGATCCTAGGTAGCAGTCAGAGATAAACCGACTGTACAGTATACTCTGAATAATCGGTGTACTGATTATCCAGTTGGTAGCTTATTAATGCATTTATTTGGGAGTGTTTGCAACTCTGCTGAGGGCCTGTTAACTCTGCTTAGCTCCTCTGTCTGACAGTCTGTATGCACAGATGTAACTTGAGAACTGCAGGACAGATTTTCATGAATGTAATATTGGAGGATATTAAGAAGATCTGTTGAAACATTTCAATTTTCGTTTTGATCGATGATTTTAACAGCCATTTTTTTTTTCAGATTACATGGTACATGTGTTTCCATATGTGTCTTGGGTGTAACTTGTATTTATCAGGCCAAGAAATGTTTTGAATAAATCTGTATATAAAGATGAATTATATACAGGGCGTTCAATCAAGGAGGAAACTTTGCAACACCACTGATGGGGCCCAATATTCCTCACAGATTGCTGCTGTAACTGTAATGGCACTCGTTTATCAGCGCTAATGACTCACTCTGCTATCAGCAGTTACAGCAGAAATCTGTGAGGAATGTTGGGCTGGGTCAGCAGTGTTGCAAAGTTTCCTCCTTAATTGAACACACTGTATTTTATGTTGATACACTTTCCTGTAAGACTTACAGTTTTCAGTATAACAGAACAAATCTGATGCTATGCGTACAGTTCCAAATTTCTGTATTCAACAATCCAATGATATCCCAGTTACACTTAAAACTTGGAGTGTCCATATGTTTTTATTATTCATACATCTTCCCCTCTTTCATTAGCTTTCAGACAAGTACCATATGAACTCTGAAGCATGCACAAACGAAATTTATAATTTTTAGTTGTGGCAATGTACCAAGAAGTGTAATTTCGTTTTATGAATTTCACACACTGCTTGACAAACTCTGCAAGACAAAGGGTCCTGAAATTTTGTTAGAATACTGCTTCCTATGGAGTGTACAAGCTTGCCAACTGTCATTAAAATCAGTTTGAAAATTGTACTTCTCTGTGATGATTTTGAATGGAATGCCATTATCATCACAGGCAAAATTGACTACCCTTGAGTGGGGACACCATCATAGTGACTGCTCTTCTGTGCTCCATGTCGGTCATTTGTAAAAAGTATTAAGTTGGTGAAATGATTACCTGATGTCACTGACATGTGCAAAGGACTCACAAGTACTACTCTGTTTCATTTCTATTATACAGACTTATATGTCATTAATTTCCTTTTGATATCATGATCTTAACCCTTTGAAGACTGAATTTAATCTAAATACATAAAGAAATCAGTCCGTACCTCACAGGAAACACATAATGTTTCCACTACAAGGCCTAACCGGTTAATGCTGTTAGGGAAACAGTCACTGTGTATTGTGAGAACCATAAGGAGCATACAGATACACTCTGTGGGAGACTGTAGAGTTTTGGTATGTGAAAACAGGTGGTACATATAGTGACCACTGGTCTTTAAGGGATTAGTAGCTTACTGGGAAAATTACAACCATTAAGTTTCAGTTAAAATTGTGACTTTCATTTTAACAATCAACTTTGAAGTAGGTAACAGGAGCATTATATCATAAGTGGTTTATCCAAATAAAAAGTGTATTTCATTATTGGCCATGATACTTAATTTGGACTGCCTTCCTGGTGCAGGTGTTTGACAACACTCCAGCTGCTCGGGATGGCACGTTGCAAAGTGGAGATGAATTGGTGGGGGTTAATGGAGCATCTGTCAAAGGGAAGACCAAAGTTGAAGTGGCCAAGATGATACAAGCTTGCAAGGTAAGAAACATAGTCCTTTCTAGGGATATCTGAGAAGAACAAATCCCAACCCTCTCCTTTTCTTCCCCTTTCCTGTATTATCTGCTTCTACTCTTTCCTTTCCACCATTCCAGATATCCCACTCTGAAAGAGATCCATCCTTTAGAGATTTGTTTCTTCTGCCTCACTTTCCATTGGCTGTAATTCTACAAATCAAATCAAGGAATTTTTGGATGGGTACTGCTGTTGCCAACAGCGATGACTGGGCGGTCACTTCACCTTGAAGATGGAAAGAGTAAGGATCTTTGAAGCACTGGCAATACAAAGCATATCTGTATGGTATGATTACTCGGGAATAGGAAATTATGTGATAAAAATTTCCAAGCTTTAGAATGTGTGGAACATGCCTTCTCACTGCCTGTATATCTCAATGACATATATCTTAGTCACAGGATCAACATTTACAGGGAATTTGACAAAGCTGTAGTGCTGTGCTGTTATCTGAGAGCTTCCATAAATCACTGAACCTCTCAGGTAGAAGAGTGTGACATTGCACATGTCTTTTCGGGTCATGGAAAAGAGTCACAAGAACTGTGATCTGACTGGATTGCAAATAGAACTCACCAAGATAACAGCAGATGGAAGAAATGCTGATGTACTGAGAATTAGCTTGCTGATATCAACAGTGACAGGTTATAAAAATACCTCTAAAGTTTTAGTGAAAAACATTTTTATGTGTTGAATTGTCAGTGTAGCAACAGTGAAAATTATTTTAAAGTTTTCAAGAACTGGTATTTTATAATATAGTAGAAATTTCTACAAACATTACTGACATAGACAGCTTTAATTTATAGAATTTGACTTCTTCTCTTTTCAGGTTGGAACAGAAAAAAAAAATTAATTAATGATGATATCTGTTATGTATGGCCCTGTTTCAACCTCAGAACCAACTGACAAATTTTCATGAAATTTGGTGTGAGCAATTGATGGTTCATACTCCCTAGTTCCCTGTGTCCAGTAATAAAAGTATGGTTAGATGTACACTTAATATAGGGTTCTTCATTGAAGTATGGTGTTGATCTTTGAAAATATGCTACTGCTAAGGTATGCTGGGTTTGAGGGTCTCACATCAGTGGCTGTATAGTTGAGAGGGAGCTTTCCACCTGCTACTGCTGGTTTCTTGCTAGGCTTACTTGACCCTGAATGTGGAACTAAATTGTTCCCTGAAATATCAGTTTCTGTCTGAACTGTGCATCATTACAGCCCAGAAGGTCAAACTCTTTTGTCAAGTTTTGGGTGGGGGGGGCTGATGGAATGTAGGCCAGTAATAAGGATAGCTATACACCAATTATCAATAGAACCTCCGTCGAGTGTAACAATATATATTCTTGTCACCATTTTCTCACATTTGCCTTACATGTTTCGGCTCACAAAGAGCCATCATCAGAGGCAACCACAACAAAAACATGGAAACACTTGCACTGCTCAACAATCACAATATACAGTTTTTTGTGGAAGATGTTACACGTATCGGAGCGTAAAACACAACAACATCCAGTACCCCGAGTGCGGGTATCCCATTTGCATTTAAAATATCACCCACAAAGCGGGTCGTTAATGTTAAAATTAAAGTTAAAACCGTCCAAGTAAAATATTCAGGTTCCTCTTAGTGGATAGTCCCAATGGGGGAGGCGTCAGCACGAGGTTGTGTGGGCTGCAAAGATATTGTATTACGTTAGGTTTTATCCATTATAATATATTTAACGTTGAATATTAAATAATATTTGATGCTGGCCTTACCTTGTGGTCGGTTGTGTCCGACGCGTAGTGTATTGTGTAGTGCAGTGGAGAGGCCACGTCGATGTTATTTAAAGCTATGTGTATCGTGACGTGTTACACTCGACGGAGGTTCTATTGATAATTGGTGATTGATAGTGTAACGGACCAAAATGAAACAATTCAAAATAGCTATACACAGTTGTCATTTAGCTTTCAGTTTGATAGCAGTAAGTAATGGACTGTTCAAGGGCTAGCTATGAATTATGTAACCATATTTCTTTCCAGGAAGAGGTAACTATCAACTATAATAAACTTCATGCAGACCCGCAACAAGGAAAGACACTGGACATTGTGCTTAAGAAAGTGAAGCATCGCCTTGTGGAGAACATGAGTACTGCGACAGCGGATGCTCTTGGTCTGTCCCGTGCAATACTCTGCAATGACACATTGGTCAAGAAACTGGAGGAGCTAGAACAGACAGAGATGATGTACCAGGGCCTTGTTGAACATGCGAAAAGAGTTCTGAAGGCCTTTTTTGACCTCCTCCAAGTTTATAAAGGTATCCATAATTCAGAAACTAGCTAAGTACACAGGATTACTGGGTTTTTGACATGGTGTGTCATCTGGTATTCGAAAAATACAAAATAACACAACATTTTGGAAACTGAATCTGTTTCTGTTCTCAAGTAATGGAGTGGGAGGCTCTTTCTCTGTTGGGTGTGTTAGAAAGAGCTAATCACAGTCACCATTGACAGAACCCTTTAGAATTTAGCCAAGTACTTATTCTTTGCCTAGGTATGTTGAAAATAAGCTTTACTGAAATGATGAAATTGTGACACAGAGGATGTGATGTCAAACATCCTTAGTAAACGCTTGCTTAATACCTTTTTTTTACTGTGCACACATCTATTTATACTTATATTCTTTCCTCAGTGAAATAAGTGTGTGCAAAATGCCTTTCTTTTCTTTTTCAGCCCCACTGTTAAATACATACTCTTCTTTCAGTTCTCAGACCTGATAATGGCTCTGATGCTTGTATGAGCAACTAAGCTCAATTGCTGGTGTGGGTATTGCTGTCTATTATTACACAAATGTATGTATAAATGTAATACGTGGTTTAGGACAGAGAGAACCCAATGAAGATAAACTGGATGAAACACACTCCTCTAAAATCCCTTTAAGTGCCCTGCACAGGAGACCAGCTTTCAAATTTCAAGGCAAGTTTGTTATATTTGTGAAGAGGTACTTTAGTTCGTGAATGTGGGAAATTTCCACAGGTACCAGAACAATGGTGACTCATAGCATCTGCTTTGATCCGGGTGGCTTTTGTATCTGATGTGTGTTGGTCTAAGAACTTGCTGATTGAGTCTGAATGTGTGGTTTGACTTGACGCAAGGGGCGTATGTCTCCTCCACCTGACCATCTGAATGATTTGCAGCAAACTCTCAGATAATCTTCCTGTATATCATCATCAGTAATCTGTCAAGACGACAGGTCCACAGTCTCTTCCAAAACAATTCCTCCACTTAATGCAATCTAGAGCTTTCTCCTTCAAATGAGAATATCCTCTTCTGTCCCCAAGGTCATCCAGCAGCTTCTTACGTCTTCTTCCTCATCTTCTTGTCACTTCTATCCGCTCCTCTATCTTTCCTTCGATAACTTCTTTTAAAAGGCAGTTTCTTTGTAAAACCTGACCAATCCAATTAGCCTTCCGTTTTCTTATTTCGTGTAGGATATTCCTCTGCTCACTGACTCCAATTAACACTTCTTCATTTCTCACATGATCGGTCCAACTGATCTTCTCCATCCTTCTCCAACACCACATTTTCCTGTATATATGGCATAATATTCTTTGGTGTCTTGGAAACCAGACAGGATGACTATGGCTTCGAAATAAGTGAAGGATATGTTCATCTGGGTTGCAGTGCCATGTACTTTGAAGAAAATGTGACTTTTAGATGAACATATCACCTCCATCTTCAGTGTCAAAGAGTAAGGCAGGGAAGCTCAGCTTTCTGGCTGCTTCTTCTGGTTTCTTGCTTGGCTTGGTGTTTCAGCTTGAAGATGGAGGTGGTATGTTCCTCCAAAAGTTTGACTGCCTATAAAATACATAACATTGTAACCCAGAAGTCACTGCTGTGAGAATCTCATATCCCACATGAGTAATAAATATTCCCTGAATTCATTTTGGTTTTAATTTCACTGTGAACCAAGTTTGATTTGTTGCCATGTATATTCAGTAAAAATTAAGAAAGGAAAGTTATGACCCATGTAAATATTTATTATTTTAAAGAGGCTCTTTGACAGGAATTAGTCTTAAGCTAGATGAGGCAGAATTTTGAGTCAGTATTTGTTTCATCTTAAAAATATTTCTTGACCTATTTAATGGACTCATTTCAAAAGTTCTTTCCCCAGGTGCATTTTATGCTAACAGTGTTAAAAGTTCTGTGTGGCATTTAATTTTGTTGCCTTCGTAACATGGTGTTAAGGCACAAGAATAGTAAATGGTTAGGTTACATATCCATCAACACAGCAAGAAAAATGGTATTACAGTTAAATCAGTATCACATAGATTAGTATTTTACCTTCATCCTTACTTTACTTAATATAGCTAGCTAACTTCTTGGACCTGAATCCTTCTTGGCTAGTCGATAAATTACCCACCTTTTATAAAACCTGTGGGTGCATACTTCTCTCTTTGTTCTCAAGAGAACACCACAAATTGCAGGGTCATGTGTAACATTTTTAACATGCTGATTTTTCACAGTGAGGTGTGTTTAGTTACCCTGCTCAACTCCCAGGCTGGAGGAACACCCCTTGCCAGCTGTCCACAACTGCTTATAAAGTATATTTGCATCTATCCTCCATATCTAGAATTAATCTATTAAGTTTACACCATGTTGTGGTAACAAGACACCCACCTAAATATGATTTTACTGTCATTCCCAATATATGTTGTAATGCATTGGAGTGCCTTATGAGACACTGATGTTTGAGTTGAATTTTTAAATTTAATGATTACCCTATTTTTCGTCATGTAAAATTCACACTTTTTATTTATTCCACAGCTTTTGGAGATACATTTGCTGAAATAGGGGTTCGTGAACCCCAGCCTCGAGCCAGTGAGGTATTTCGTCAGTTTGGTGATTATCACCGACAGATGGAAAAGTATGGCATAAAGATGCTGAAGTCAGTTAAACCTGTACGTACACATTCAGAGTGTGCAGACTTATTGTAACATAGTAAAGTAAATTGATTAGGAAAGAATTCTTTTTTACTCATTTAAATTATATACCCTATGGGTCTCTTCATAAGACTATGTCCCTGTTGACAACCTGAAGATTCAACACTGCTGATATTTGCTGGACAGCACAGATAATGGTAACACTGTCTCAGCTAAATAATAATAACAGACATTTCTTGAATTTGTTCTTAATTTCACTATGAACCATACTTTTAGCCCACTTTCCTTTCTCAGGGAAAGCAAGCCATATGTCTCCTTACATTTACATTCTTATGACTCAGTGTTTCCCAAACAGTGTTCCACGGAACCGTGGGGTTCCACAAAGTGAAAATAGGGTGCTGCAGGAAAGCTTCAATTTTACAATATAAAAAGTTATAANTATTTTTTCTTCTACCCTGAAGATGGAGGCGATACGTTCCTCCGAAACGTCGGTTAACACCACATATACACGGTGCCAAATCCCAGAAGACTGCTTTCTTCATAGTCACCGCCGTGAAAGCCTCAAATCTTACATATGACATATTAATTTTTAAGTTTTATTTTTCATATGCATGAAATGTGATTTTTGTTTCGGAATATGTGCAGTTAAATAATATGTTGATCTCATATTCATGTTTAACATTTACTTATTATTATCCATATTTATTTGATGATCTAGTTCTTAGCTTCATGTATATGAATTTTATTCAGGGTTCCATAAAATTGTTTCCAAGTGCAAAAGGGTTGTGCGGCCAAATGAAATTTTGAAATTCTGTTTCAACGTATATATGTACGATTTGAAACCTTCATGGCGGCTGTATGCAATGCAGTCTTCTCAAGCACTGAGCCATGGCAATATGGAGTTATTATCCAATGTTAAGAGCCTGCCCTTTTGCAGATCTTTCATCTGAGGCTGGTATGATGGTTGCTGTGTTCACATGTTTTATTTACAGCACAGAGTATGCTCTCAACTTCCCCAGTGTGTACTGCTGAGGGAACAGTTGGTGGAGTCAGTCATTTGTGTCCTGTTTTCCCTTTCTTTTTGCACCAGGACAGTGGAGAACATATTCTATGGCATAAATATAGTGAATATGACACCTATCATGTTACCACCCTGATGATGGAAGCAGAGACAGTTTCCAAAACACTGAATACTAACTCCACATTGACAGTTTATTGTCTGTGAAGACTTCATTGAATTTTTATAATCTGTCGCACAAACTTTAACATCAGCAGAATTAAAATGATGACCATGTACTTATATTCAGTTTGCTAAAGAAATTATATATTTTTCAGTGGTATATTTGTGTAATAGTTAGCAGTTGTGTTGTTACTTGTTTAGATTTTATCAGACCTGGGTACGTACCTGTATAAAGCGATACCTGACACAAAGCTGACCATTCGAAAGTATGCTGATACCAAGTTTGAGTACTTGTCCTACTGTCTCAAAGTAAAGGAAATGGATGATGAAGAGTACAGTTATGGAGCTCTTCAAGAACCTCTGTATCGTGTTGAAACTGGAAACTATGAGTACAGGTACCCAGAAAACTTGCTTGTTAGACTCAGAGTATTCAGAACATCGTGACACCATTTCATTTGCTGAAAACACTAACAAAGATAAAGTTAAGTAAGAACCACACTATGAAGATGTATGTGGGGAGTGGATGTATATCTCCACCATTCTTGACTTTGGCACCAGGTGGAGGTGAGCGGTCAGCTTTACGCCACTTTAACTCTGAGGAAGTAAACCCCTCCCCCCCTTACCCATTGGACAGGGGCTGGGTGGGTGCTAGAGCCAGTCTGGATGCTGTAGAGAGGAAGAAATCCTTCACCCGTTTGGGGAATCAGGCCAAAAATGTTCACCCCATATCCCATTGTTCTACTGGCAGCTAAACATATAGAAAAAGTAACTCTTAAGTTGAGTACGATGCTGATTTCAAATCTGGACACAAGAATTTCCCATCATGACAAAGTATGTGTATTGAATTTCGATCCAAAACTGTATATTCTTTCACTTTGTTATTTTATCATAGTGTTCTTATAATTTTTTGTAAAACATAATATGAGAAAATTATGTTTTTAGTGAGTAGAAGTTTATTTCCATTTCATTTTGTGTAATAGGTGATATGTACATTCATATGTCTTACATAAACAAAAGAGTAACAAAGGAACCGTGTGTTATATAACTTCAGCATATCCAATTTAGTCAGAAACAGATTATGTTGTACAGGTTATTGAAAAGAAATTAGATAATTTGTAGCGCTATGTAATGGATTTCAGTTCACTAAGAATGTTTTGAATGGTAGAAGTAACGGTCATTTTATGAAATTGTTTAGCTATGCCAGAATTCATTGTATAATTTTTGTTGTATCTCATATATATCCAACACCTGTGACACATGCCATATATGTTTGAGTCTGTTTTCTTTGTGGCCAGGTTGATCCTACGATGTAGACAGGATGCACGAACAAGGTTTGCGCGCCTTCGTTCAGATGTATTGGTCAAGCTGGAATTACTAGACAACAAGCATGTGCAGGATGTTGTATGGCAGCTTCAGCGTCTCGTAGCAGGATTAGCTGAGTTTCATGGAGAGACCCTCAGTTTGCTGCAAGGGAACTCACTCTTCCCAATAGAAGTTGATCTAGCACGATCTGCATTCCAGTACAAATCTACTAGTCCTGTTGTCCAGGTGTGTAGAATACATGCTTTAATTTGATCTGTTGCTCTAGAAGAAAAAAGGAGAGGAATTTGTAAGTTTCTACATTATGCACAGTTTACATCTAGAAATTCATTACCGTAAGTTTCAGTGGCTTTGTCTCAAAATTTCAATATTTTTTATGTTATAAATGCATTTAATTATTTAGGGCATAAGGGAACTATAATCACGATTAAGCTAAGTAAAATCACGATAGAAATTAGAAAGAAATTCCTATCGCCTGTGTTCAGCTCTTCGTGTTTTTCACACTCTATATCCTTGTTCTGTTTATTTCACAGAATGTGGTGGTAAAACCAGTAAAATCTAAAGCAGTGAATTGTAGTTCTGGCTTTTGTGCTTTCTTCATTTTACCTTGAACTTCTTATTAGAAGAGAAGGAGCAAACAAATGTTTTGACCTTTTTATGCTGTGGATGAAGTGTGAAAATTATTTTGCAACATTGTTCAAAGAACTACAGTGTCCAGGAAAGAATTCCAGAGTTCTAGTTATAAATATTTCTTCACTTTTTTGACATAAAAATTTCTTATTACCAAAACCTCTTAGACAGTCTGCCCAAGTTTAACTACCATTTGATTCAATTCACTGTTGGCACCACCAGTGGATGACCCTGCAGACGTAAAAAAGAACTGCACTTCACCCTACACCCAATCCTTTGGTGCAAAGCAGGAAGAGGTACTACCCTTCAGCTGTGCTTGATGTCTTTGGTGTACCCTCAGAAGAGGAAATTCATGGGTGTTAAGTCAGGACTCTGTAAGGGCCAGTTAATCAGAGCTGTCCTGCCATTTAGTCGACCAGGAAGTAGTACATCCAGAGCAGTGTATATAATGCTACCAGAATGGGCTGGTGCACCATATTCTTGGAAAATGAGGCCCTAAACTTCAACTACTAGTAGCTTTCCAACAAGATGAAATGTGATCATAGTTGTGATAGCCATGTTACATGGAGTAATAGTACTTTGTATGGGAGGTGAAACCTGGGGACCAGGGTAATGTTCAAGAGTTATATTCCAGAAGTGCTTCGTTCAAATATTTGCTGGGACATCAGCTTTCGTTATTTGTTTTTCATGGTTTTGCTCACTCTTGCCAGACTTGCTGGGATAGTATTTTGGTTATGCCATGATCACTTCCATCAGAATCCTATCAGATTCATCATTCATCAGTTGTTCCACCACAAATAAACTTGGAGACCCAAATTTTCTAAATCATATTTTGGAGCTCTGTATATAGGCACTGTGTATGGCATGTGTAAATGCATTGTATTGTATCTTGCACAGGAGCATTTACCTTGCAGGACTGCAGTCAGGAGAAAGCCATGGGATGGGTATACACTAAATAGATGCAGGGTTTTCATGTTGATTCACTGCTAATGTAGACCCTGTGCATTTAGGCTGTGTTGTCATTTTGGAGCCATCACCTGTAGACAGGATTCACATTGGTGTCTCCCCCTTCCCACTTTAAGCATTGTCTGTAGTAGCAGAGATCAAGGAATTGCTAAGTCAGTGAAAACTGTTTAACCTTTAATGCACGGACTTTTAAATTGCTGGGAACCCTCTGCGGCCGATATTTAAATCGCCCTAATTAATTAACATTGCAAACTTTCAGAAAAAATTACATATTTTCCGTTCTATGCAATATAGAAATACAGACTAAAAACAGCCTGAAAGACAATAAAATTTTCTACATATACACAAAAGAGCAATTTTTACAAATGAAAATGAAAAGCTGTGATTATTTTATCATGAAATGCAAAATATAATCTTTATTATATATGTTATGAAATTCCAAAGGACTTACCCTTGAATCATGGTGATATTGTAAATATAATCACACTATATACAATAATATTACCATATGCGAGTTTGAACTGCATCACTTCACAGTTTATGATACACACTGACGCGCGTAGCACTTCTCGAAGCAATCCACCTCACACAGAGCAAAATCACACTTTTTACAGTAGAAGAGCATGCTCCTGCTTTTCTTATTTAATGAAACACGCAACAATGTCCTTGTTTCCCTTTTGTTGGCCAGTGTTGTGAATGTTTCACCTCCAGTCGACTCAGTTGGCCCCAGATAACCTTGGCCTCCCCCTGAGAAACGCCACTGACCGTGATATTCATCTTGTGCGATTGAAGAATCATTTTGGGTGAGGCAAAATTGAATAAATTATGTTGATCAACAAAGCGACACACTACCCTATTAGTAATACTCGCAAAATAGTGATGCAAAGTAATTATAATACTAGACAAAAAGAGTGCCAGTCCGACACTGATACCGAAAGTCACAGTGACGAAGATGCTTTTTACTCACAAAGTAATACTGGCTCAGTGGGTTTATACCTCTTCCAAGACACAAAATAAAGTGATATACAAAGAAATATATGACAGTCTGACACTGACTTTCTAACTGATAAAGAAATATTAGACAATCCGACAGACTTCCTAACTGATAATTCGCCACCGAAAACCAATCCTTGAATGCTTCACACTTCCTTGAAGGCTCTGGAAGCACTCATTTGCAAGCACCGATGAATATTTCCTTATCAGTTCTCGAAACAAAGATGATCAATATTTGACTGACCAGGTCATAAACAGTCATATCTAAACGTAAATAGTATCGAAACCAGTACCGTGATAAACGATTTCATTGTTCAGAGCTAAGGAATGAACCACTGACATGACCTTACGTAGGTTTGTTTTGATTTCAAACCCAGCACTGTCAGCATTCCCAAAGAGAGCACGTGTCCTGCCGCATATATACATATATATAACATTCAGCCAACTCGGGGATGCTGCTTGCTGCATATATACGTAGCACGTCCACAAAGTAAGTTTCCCACTCAACCTACAGCTAGCAGACCTTATATTGCGCGAAGCGACTGCGCGTACATGATAGAGCAATGACGTAGCATGGCGCATGCACAAACAGAATTTTCCGCGTTCCCACAGTAGCATCATTGCAGCTGTTGAAGATGGAGGCTCTTATTCCAACTCCTGCCGACTGTGAAGTGCGGTCAGTGATAAAATTTTTCAATGCACAGAGCATAGTGCCGATCGAAATTCATCGTCAGCTGTGCCGGGTCTATGGGCCTAACATCATGAGCAAGCAGATGGTGCGTTGCTGGTGCAGACAGTTGTCAGCAGGTCGACAAAGTGTGCATGATGAGAAGCGCAGTGGGTGGCCATCCATCATTACAGACGACCTGGTGGAGCTTGTGCAGGAACGCATTATGGAGAATCGTCGCGTCACAATTACGGAACTCAGCAACAGATTTCCCGCTCCTTGTTGCGTGAAATTGTCACGGAGCACCTGTTGTTCAGGAAATTGTGCGCCAGGTGGGTGCCGAAGCAACTGACACCAGAACACAAAACAAAGCGCATGGAGTCAGCATTGACCTTTCTGCAGCGGTACCATGACGATGGTGACGAGTTTCTGGACTGGATCATCACAGGTGATGAAACGTGGATTGCACACATTACCCCAGGAACCAAGCAGCAGTCATTGCATTGGCGTCACAGTGGATCTTCCTGTAAGACAAAAGCAGATGTTGTCGGCGCGGAAAGTGATGTGCACGGTATTCTGGGCCAGACGGGGTGTTCTCCACGTCGACTTCCTGACCAGAGGTGAGACAGAGAATGCTGAGCGTTACTGTGAAACACTGCAGAAATTGTGACAGGCCATTCAGAACAAGTGGCGTGGGATGCTTAGTGCTGGTATTGTCTTCCTGCACGATAACGCTAGGACGCGCACAGCTCGACGGACAGCAAGTCTCCTGCAGGAGTTCAGCTGGGAGGTGTTTAATCATCCACCCTACAGCCCGGACCTCGCTCCCAGTGATTTCCATCTTTTCATACACCTCAAGAAATTTCTGTCCGGTGAGCGTCAGCATTTTGAGAATGACAGAGAGGCGGAGATGGTTCTCACACAGTGGTTCCAGTCCCAGGCGGCAGACTTCTGTGACACAGGTATTCAAAAGTTGGTCCCACAGTATGACAAATGTCTCAGTTCTGGTGGCGATTATGTTGAAAAATAGCTGAACACTTGCTTATCTGTTGCAATAAATATTTCCATGAAATTGTGTTTTGTTTCTGTAAACGGCCCCAGGGAAACTTACTTTGTGGACGAGCCTCGTATATAACATTCGGCTGTTAAAGGTTAAAGTGTTAGTCATTGTAGTGTGTTCCGTGTTTCAACTACAGATGCATTTTTGTAGGATGGAGCTGAAGATGAAGAGGATGATGAATTGCTTCAAGCTGATGAAGCCAAGGAGGAATTCATTAGCTTGATTCCAGAACTCAGAGATTGAGTCAGTTCTGGTGCACACAGTTTGAATGTGGGTACATTCATCATGGGAAGGCCGCTGATGCTGAAGCATGTCTGAGAAGGCAGTGAAGAATTTCTATTCAGGACTTCTTGAATTTTATAAAGATTATTCTTCTTCTTCTTCAGTCTTTCATTTAAATCATGCTCCTTTTTCGTGGTGATGATCACATACACCTGTTAGCTTCTAGATGATAACTTGGATACAGTTTAACATCAGACTGATAGTAGATTTACAAGATGTATTGGAAAGTTCCCAGACTAGGTCAAAAAAGAAATGTTGCCTAAACTTACTCAATTTGGTTGCTGTTTCCTTCAAAATAGTCTCCTTCAGAATGTATACAGCGATCCAGTCATTTCTTCCACACTTTAGAAGCACTGTGGAAGTAATTTTCCTTAATGATGTCGAATACCACTTGTGATTCCCTTTGGATGTCAGACACTGTTTCAAACCATTGTCCCTTCAGTTTCATTTTCAAACTGGGAAACAAAGCGAAATCACAGGAGGCTAAGTCTGGGGCATAAGGAAGATGGGGACTGATAACCATGGTGTAGATTCTGAAGGGTTCTTGCAATATAGTACAGCACTCAAAATTACTGGGTTTTTTGTTTTGCCCCCCCCCCCGCTCCAGTATTGGTCCAGTGAATGAGGTTAGCTCTTTTTAAGGGACCCAAACATGTAGCTGTCTTCCCCCCCCCCCCCTTGAGGATGGAAAAAGATCCAGTTTCCAAAATGTCATGTTTTCTGTTTTCTAGAATACCAGATGATGGGAAAAGACCAAAACCCAGTAATTCTGGGTGATAACCATGTTGTTGTAGGTCACAATCTCTGTGATTTTCAGGGACATGTGGGCAGGGGCATTGTTGAGATGAAGCTGCCAGTTGTGGTTGCTCTGTAGTTCCGGTCTCTTTCATTGAACATTTTCTCTCGGGCATCTAAAAACATAACAGTAAAAGTCAGAGTTGACAACAGTGTTAGGAGGAACAAATTCACAGTGAACAATCACCTTCACATCAAAAAAAAACAATGAGCATGCTCCTTGTTGAACTCTGGATCTGCTGTGCCTTTTTTGCTCTTGGTGATTGTGGGCTCTTCCACTGCGATGATTGTTGCTTTGTTTCTGAATCGTAACCATAAATCCAAATTTTGTCACCCATTATGAACCTAGAGATATTCATAAAAGGTGGGCCCTTGTTAGCCTTCTGTCATAGCTTAAGACACATGTTTACATGCTGCTGCTTTTGATTATTTGTCAAGAGTTGGGGAACAAAAACAAACTTTGTGGCAATGCGGCACATGTTCAAATTGTCTGTTAAGTTCTCCTGGCAAACTCCATAACTGATCCCATTGGTGTCTGCAAGCTCATGGATTGTTCAGTGACGGTCTTCATGGATGAGTTCTTGATTTCTTCAACATTTTCTATCGTTCTGCTGGTGCTTGGTCATCCTGAATGTTCATCATCTTCAGCTGTCACTCAGCCATCCTTGAAACATGAATGCCGTTCAAAAACCCCTGTCTGGCTTAAAGAATGTTCTCCCAAAGCCTCACAAACATTTCAAGGGTTTCGTTAGCAGATTTACCGAGCTTCTTGCAAAACTTGATGCAGACACATTTGCTTGATTTTGCTATCCATCACAGAAAAATGAAACATTAAGTTGAAAAAGCATTCATGTAAAAACAATGTGTGTTCACAGCATGGTGTCATGTGGCAGACTGATGCAATAGGCTTGTGGAAGTGTGACTTTGGCCTCCCCTCTCATTTTCTTTCACTGAAACAGTTACAACAATAACAGTCCAGGAACTTTCCGATAGATCCTCGTATGTTTACAGAACTCACTGAATACTGAATTTTGCAGATGTATGAATTTAGTACAATGAAACTTAAACTTTGTGACCACCAGTCTTAAAGTTTATTTTTTGTAAGATTGAAGTGTAATTTGCCTTGAATGTAAATTTGTGGTTATTTCTTAAATCCTCATTGTACATTCAGATTTTTAATTCATACATAAGTCGGTTTCTTGACACCACCAATTGTTTCTGTTTCTTCAATTTTAAACGTTTTTGTTTTACATTGAGTTTAGCTTGTCTCTTTAAACATGTAAAATAAGAAGTATGTGAAAGAGTATTGCTACTGAGAGAAGAGAACTGAACTCTTAGATGCAGTTTTATGTTTAATATAAAAGCAGAGTCTATTTTATGATTGCCACAAATCTCTAACATGGTATGCCGTCCCAACTTATTTCATGTTTGCCATTACCCAGGGTATTGGCCATTTTATGGTCGCCACTAAAGAGGTTAATATTTAACCTCAGTCTTTGCCTTTGGGCATTGAATAACTGAGTTAGTACAGCCATCAAGTCTTATTGTGAGAAATTACAGCTTTACTGAACCTTCCTCTTTTGTGGAAATTCAAAGCATGTAAATATTTATCATGAAACAAAAACAGTACCTAAAATAGATGCTGACATAAACTTCTGGGTTTTTTCATCCTAAAAGCAAAAATTGGAGCAAAATGTGTGGGGGATTTCCCCAGTCATAAACATCTGACAGGCGAATGGATGCTATATTTCTGGTATCAAAAGAGTAATAGTGCCTGTAAGCTACCAATTCCTATATGAATAAATATCTATATAAACTAATGTAAAATAAATTGTGAAGACATGCAAAGTTGCTCTTCTTCTTTATTCTCATTGATACTTTTGGATTAAGGTTTCAAGACTACAACATAATTTTCATGAAACATGCAAGACCTCCAGAGATTTCTGTTCAGAAAGATGTCGTTCCATAACTGTTAGCATACTTGCTGCATTGCTAATTCAAGAGCAGTTTGAGATATCCGAATGTCCTGAAGATTACAAACCCTATATAAGTGAAGCCATATGTAACTGAAGTAGAAATTTTGTTTTTCCTAGTAAATTTGATTATTTGCCAAATGCTGGTTCATGCAAATGTTGAACATTAGTGTGCCATGTTATTGTAGCATATGTAAAGAATTTAACATTTGATATCACATACTATACTGTTTCTGTTGCAAGGAAAGTTTGCATGTCCATTTCAGTGCCCTGTTGTTATAGAGGAATGTTTATTGTGACGTTGCTTAGCAGCGGTTGTGGCACAACTACGTGGAAAGCCAGTCATGTTATAGCCATCTTGCCAGCCCATTGGTGCACTGACTGTTGCCTAGCAATGAACTGTAAACATTCATCCTATTGTTGAGTGTGCTCACATGACTAAAGTTGTTTACAGGTCATTGCCTAGAAACGCTCTGGTCCTGCGTTCTGAGGTCTGTGCCTGTGGCGTCACTTTCCTGTGGCTTGGTCTTCTCTTGCGGCTACTATTCTCAAACCATTACATCTGCTCCCTCCTTAAGGGCAGCTCATCCCGAGTGGTTCCCTGTTAAGGTGCCAGTCAGTCCAGGTTCTCACCATAATCCAAAGTTCTCTTCTTCTTCTTCTTCTTCTTCTTCTTCTCCTCCTCCTCCTCCTCCTCCTCCTCCTTCTCCTCCTCCTCTCCCCCCCCCTCTTACAACAGTGTGGGCCATAGCTTTTGGAGTGGCCAGTGCTCCTCCATATCCACCTCTTCCTGTGCTAAGAATAAACCAATTCACAAATCCAAATCTGTGTCTTAGTCACCAAAATATGTGACAACTGGTGTTAGAAGTGGTAGGAATTGGATCAGAGTTATCAGATCTTCAGTAGTTGTAAATACAAATAATTGTAACACATTGAAGATTAATGTAATTTATAACCCACACGTCAGGTCTTCTATTCACTTCTTTTGTAAGCACTTTGTCACAATATTACTGGAATAATAATCTTAAATAGGTTATAACTGCCCTAAGTCCTCTCTCACCAGTCATTATTATCCCCATATCTCATTTGACATTGGGTTTGGTTGGGTCAAAATTTTTAATGCTGTTTTATTTACTGGGAAATGAAATGGCAGTGTGACTGTAGATCAAGGACTCCATAGGAAGAGACCATGGTATTTTCAAGGTACTGTTGGTGTGGAAGGAATGTGGAAAAGCACAAAAAGCCTGTCCTCTCCCTAGCTTCAGCAGGCCTCTTTCTGCCTTTAGGTGCCTTAAATTTAATTGTGTTATTAATTTTATAAGTGTGTCATAATTATAAAAATACTATCTAAATAAATATGCAGATAAAAATAAGGAATGGAAATATCATAAGAAGATGAATTTGGGGTTATCCAAAACATATATGGCCTTGACATTTACATAATTTAACCTCCCAGATGCTTCTCTCAGCTTTGTATGCAACAGCATTAAGGCTGATAACCCACTGATGCAACTAGTCATGAATGGCTAGCTGCTCTTTGTTGTGCGCTTCCATTAGTTGTATTAGTGTATATGGTGCCTAACCCATTAATGCAGCGCGGCTGCTGAGTCGCTCATGGCCAATTATTCAACTGCTGTTCAAGCTGATAACCCACTAACGCGACTAGTCGCGAGCGGCTAGCCGTGTCAGTGGGTTATCAGCCTAAGCCTAGCTGGTAACAGCTTGCTTCTGATAAGGTTGGCGTTGGTTGGGATGAAGGGAAGTATGGTAGTAAGCTACCAGTAAGTAACATTCTTGCTGGTATGGTTTGATCATTATCATTATATAGAATTGTCCTTGTAGAATTTATAAACATGCAGAGATATTCATCTCCATGTTAGCAAAATTGTCGTGCTTCAGTAATTGACATATGTGAGTGATAATTGATGATATGCACATTTGTTTATGTCAGGATTAAAATTATAGTGAACAAACTCCTTGAGAAGTCGCCACTTGTGCCGTTACTTAGGAATTCCCCAACATTTTATGGAACCTGAAGGTTCATTTCTGTGTTCACAGTACTCCACTGGTCCCCAGCCTGAGGCACATCAATCCAGTCCATACCACCCCATCCTATCTCTCTAAGGACCATTAAAAGTTGTCCCTGTGCTTAACTAATTAAGCCATGAAGGCATATGGGGAGTCGATGTATAGTGCCATATTTTCTTGACCTCAGCACTAGTTGGAGGTGAGCGGTCAGCTTCATGCCCCTGCTGTTTTACCTCTAGGGAAAAAATCCCTGGTACCCGTTGGAAGGGAGGCTGGGCGAGCCCCAGAGACAGTCTGGACAGTGTGAAGAAGAGAAAATTCTTAACCCTACCAGGACTCAAACTCTGATTTCTCAGTCATCCAGCCCATAGCCAGTCACTATACCGATTCTGCTTATTATCAACCCACCTATGTCTTGCTCTTCCTATTTGTGTCGTTCCTCCTGGCTTTCCAACCAATCCTATATGCAATTCCTGTCTTCCCCATTCATGCTATATGCCCTGCACATCTCATCATCCTTCACTTGATCATTCTGATTATACTTGGCAAACAGTGTAAGTTATGAAATTCTCATTGTGCATTATTCTCCAGCCTCTTGTAACCTCTCTGTTCTGCCCAAATACTTTCCTGAGCACCTGTTCTCAAACACCCTCATTCTAGATTGTCTTATAATTCATCATAATTATTTTCTGTCAATTCAGGACGTTGAAGAGACATTTGCGTGCATTTGCCTTGCGTGCATGATCCAGCCCCCTCCACCTCCCAATGTGTCACCAGCTTCCAGGGATTTGACCACCTTTTATGTGATCTGCTTATACGAGTATATCATAACCAAGTTCTCATCCTACACCTTAACTCTGAAAATGTCGGCAGAATATTCCTGCGGAACGTTGGAATCCATCAACAGGAGTACATGCTGTTAACCCAGAAGATTGAAATCCCGGATAATTACCTGATAATGCTCGTCACTGAATTTCAGTGAACTTTTATGTTAGTAGAGACGAGGAATGTGAATAGGATATCGGTGGGAACGCCAGAACGAAAGAGACCACTGGGAAGACCAAGGCGTAGGTGGGTGAACAATATTAAAATGGCTCTTAGATAGGATGGGATGGATTGGATTGATCTGGCTCAGGATAGGGACCAGTGGAGGGCTCTTGTGAACATGGTAATGATCCTTCCGGTTCCATAAAATACTGGGAAATTCTTGAGTAGCTGCAGAAGGGATCAGCTCCATGAGTAAGTAACAGCAAAGGTATGTTACATGTTTTCAAGTTTACCGCTGGCGATTGTGTTATCCTTATTCATGTAAACCGTATAAGTCACGGTTTTGCGGAATGAATTTTCTGGGTTTGAAGCAGTCATTTCATCTATGACTTCACCCAGAATGACGGATCACAATAATCCTTGCTGAGTGCTGATTGGTTATTGCAAATAATCCAATATGGAGTGCATAGGTGAGTATGCTACTTGTAAATTTGTGGAATATTTGTAGAATTGTTCACAGTTGCTGGGTTTTGAACGCTTGTGCGTCTTCGAAGGATTAAATCATTAGTTGTTGCAACCGTCTGTGTTAGTTGCGATGGACGATTATATTAAATAAACTTATATTTTTATTAGTTAATAACGTGCATGTCATTTTCGAATTGTTAAAGAGATCAACAGCAGCATTTTAGGCACGACAGCACGTTCATAACCTCAGAAATATTTGCGTATACTGTATAGGAATTTTGTTTCCAGCGAAGTGAGCAGAAAGATATGATGTAAGTGCACTGTTAATTGATTTCGCATATGAATTTAATAATAAGCTTAGAATTCTATGCTGTTTTTGAAGGAGATAAAATTTTGGCATAGGCTTTTGCCAAATCGCGCGGTCTGCTCTGTTAGCCTTGTTTTACAGTTTTAGATGTAAATTTTAGTGTTGCTTCTTTGAACGGTTCCTGTGGTAATCATTTATAGAAGCGATATCAGTGACTGTTTACGACTTTGAGCTTCACATTTTTCCAAATATATTTGTGTGGTAATAGAATCATAAATCAGCAGTCATTAAGATTAGTTAAATCATGAAACATATGCGACGGAGCTGGGGTTAATTTATATTGGTGTTAGTGAAGGATATTTGTGTATGTGCAATGTACACTTCTTTGCACTTCATGTGATATACTGCCAGAGACCAAGCTTTCCTGTAGCAGCTGTCAATTTCACTTTCAAGTAGGATTCCAAGAGGTGTTATTCATTTTATTCGGCATGTAATGTGTACAGTGCAATAAATAACAGCACAGTATATAAACATATATTAAGTGACTTAGGTGTGAAAAATAAGGCAGTTGATTGTTAAAAATAAATACAGACTATAAGCAATGTTTGAATCTTATTTTTCATTATCTTCTCCTTGCTTTCCTTGCCCATCACATCACAAGCCTTAGGTGCCACTGTGAAAGGAAGTATGTTGACCTGTTTATTGTGACTGTCTTGAAAAGGAGTGCTTGGTAGCATCTACTGAGTTCTCTGGTGTTTGTTCTCAGGATCACAGTGTTTCATCTCTGGTGAATGTGCTTATTCTGGTAGTCAGTTTTGATACAAGTCCAGATATTTGGTCTCCATAAGGCAAACTGAACAACTGCAAACACCATATGGAAAGAATACTATCGTCTCTGATGTGATGCCATGTAGTCTGGTAGAAGGCCACTGGAGGAATGTACTACCCCCCTATCTTCAGGGTTGAAGAGTCATACAGAAAGCAGAGATTTTTTCCTTTGAAGATGAAGACAGTTTCTTCCTCTAAAACATCAGTGCACTTCTACTGGACTACTCAGTGCCACAACTCAGAAGATAGTACTCATCATAGTTATCACTCTTGAGAACCTGAAATTCAACACCATATAGATAAACTGTAATGTGTGCTGTGATACATTTGTTTCGTTAGTATATAACATATTCATGTGGCATTATGTACTGCCAAACATGTTTTAGAAAATTTTATTTATGTCTACAGGCACGTCACAGGTTCAAGTCCCGATGAGGTGATTGGATTTTTTTCAATTGACCTAATCCTTCCGGCCGCACTATGGCCCTGGGGTCGACTCAGCCTCTAACAGAAATGAGTACCAGGATTTAATTAAATAATTTTTCCGGGGAGTAAAGTGCGGCTGGCGAGTAAGGCTGACAACCTTACCGCCATCTTTGAGCCAATTGTCTAGATGATGTGGGACCCTCAGTGTCTCACAACTGTATGGGCCTTCATGGTCTGTTACAGGGATAGCTTTACTTTTTTTTTACAGGTACGTAAGTAACTGGTACCATACAGTAAAGAAACTGAAAAAATTAGAACTTCACTATTGTGGCGGAGGGAGTTTCTTTATTGAGAATTAGCTATATTCCTCAAATGAGGTTTTAAAATATATCCTGAATTATATATATATACACACACAGATGTATATGTAGGAGCTGCGATAGTGCAGTTGGTACAGCGACTGGCCATGGGCTGGATGACTGAGGGATCAGAGTTCAAGTCCTGGTAGGGTCAAGAATTTTCTCATCTCTAAGTTGTCAAAACCAGTTTGGGGGTCCCCCTAGCCTCCTCTCTAGTGGGTATCAGGGGCTCTTTTCCCCATGGCTAAAGTAGCCAGTGCATAAAGCTGACCACTTAAGTCGTCAAGCACTGGGACTTTACTTTTTATTATTATTATCATTATTATTGTTAATATTAATATTATAGATTTTAGAAGTTCATTGCTGACACTTGGGCAACTGGTCAGTTCTGTGTGAGACCTTGTGTAACTCCAGCAGTAACACAGCAGTTTGTTGTATCCTGTGAAAGGCATCCATAGAATAGCCAAGACTTGGGGTATTAATTAATAATGCATATAGAACTACGGAAATGCTGAAGCGCAGTGGAACGATATAAAAGAATGCATGTTAGATACTATCAGTGATTTGGTAGGTAAAGTTGAGAAGATAGCAAGAAAACCATGGGTTACACAGGAGATGATGAGTAAAATGGAGGAGCGAAGAAAATGGAAGAATGTCAACAATGAAGAAGGCAGGAGGAAATACAGGAGACTGAGGAATGAATTGAAAAGAGCCACGGACAGGGCCAAAAAGGAATATCTTGAGAAGATATGTAATGAGATTATGGAATTTCAAAGAACAGGCCGTTATGATTTGATGTACATGAAGACAAAAGAACTAGGATGGAAAGAGAATCATGGGATTCAAAATGTTGGCATCGAAGACTCCCAGGGGAATAGAATAGTAGATCAGAGGCAAGTGCTGAAAATTTGGGAAAATTATATTTCAGAACTATATGATCGGCCTAATCGGCCAGAAACCTTAGAAGTTGAACCGGAAGAAGAAGTAGATACAGACGAGAAAGGACCATATATTTTACAAAGTGAGGTGGAAAAAGCTATCAAGGAAATGAGGAAGGGAAAGGCTACAGGAGATGATGATGTACCTGGAGATGTGCTCAAGTTACTGGGAGAAGGTGGTTTGAAAACACTGACAAAACTAATGAACACCATATATGAAAGTGGAGAGTGGCCCAAGGACTTTACAGAAGTTACAATGATTGCCTTAAAGAAAAAGACAAAAGCTACAAAATGCAGCGACCATCGCACAATAAGTCTTATTGCACATACAGCAAAGATAATAGCAAAGATACTTAAAAGAAGAATTGAAAGGAAAATAGAGGATGTACTTGGAGAAGATCAGTTTGGATTTAGAAGAGGAAAAGGAACCAGGGATGCAATTGGGATGATGAGAATTATAGCGGAACGAACTTTGGAGATAGATGAAGAACTGTGTGTTTGCTTCATAGACTGGCAGAAGGCATTTGACCGGGTAAACTGGACCAAATTAATGCAGATCCTGAAAGAAACAGGTATCGATTGGCATGAAAGAAGATTGATTAGCAAATTGTACATGGATCAGAAAGTTAGAGTACGACTGGACAGGGGGGAGACAGGAAGTGTGCAGATTGGAAGAGGAGTTCGACAAGGATGCTGTTTATCACCAATTCTGTTCAACTTGTACAGCGAATGCCTTACCAAGGAAGCTCTGGATGGGCTCGGTGACTTCAAAGTAGGAGGGCAAATTATTCAAACTGTGAAATATGCAGATGACCTTGTGTTAATGGCTAAGGAAGAAACTGTGCTACAGGGCATGATTGATAGACTAATTGAAATTGGAAGGTGCTATGGCATGGAAATGAATGTGGAGAAAACAAAAGTAATGAAAATTTCGAGACAACCAACCCCAGTCACAATAAAGATAGACCAAAAACAAGTGGAGAATGTGAAATGTTTTAAATATTTGGGTAGCTTGTTAACAGATGATGGAAGGTGTACTTGTGAAATTAAATCCAGGATTGCCATGGCAAAAGCTGCATTTAGCAAGAAGAAGAATCTTTTTACCAGCAAATTGGACTTAAATTTGAGGAAGAAACTAGTGAAATGCTACATTTGGAGCATAGCTCTGTATGGGGCTGAAACATGGACACTTAGGGCAGTAGATCAGAAACATCTGGAAAGTTTCGAAATGTGGTGTTGGAGAAGAATGGAGAAGATCAGTTGGACCGATTATGTGAGAAATGAAGAAGTGTTAATTAGAGTCAGTGAGCAGAGGAATATCCTACATGAAATAAGAAAACGGAAGGCTAATTGGATTGGTCATGTTTTACGCAGAAACTGCCTTCTAAAAGAAGCTATCGAAGGAAAGATAGATGGGCGGATAGAAGTGACAAGAAGACGAGGAAGAAGACGTAAGAAGATGCTGGATGACCTTGGGGACAGAAGAGGATACTGTCATTTGAAGGAGAAAGCTCTAGATCGCATTAAGTGGAGGAATTGTTTTGAAAGAGACTGTGGACCTGTCGTCTTGACAGATTACTGATGATGATGATAGAACTGATAATTCAGAACTGCTGATAGCCTTAGAAACTGACATGTCTATGCCCACTCCAGTTAATTCAGAAACTTCGAGTCATTTCTCAGTTGACACTGCATAACATTTACATGAACCCAGCAGATTACTGGAGCTTGACCAGTTCATATTAGTGTGTGCTGCAACAGCCAGAAACAAGGTGTTAAGAATATTGCCATGGTTGCAGCATAAGTCACCTTATTGAGATACCATTAACATGGAGGAGTGCTTCTCACTCCATATAATGGGGCGTACTATATATAAGCAGAGGGAATGTTTCAGTATTGTATAGCAGTGTTGTTTTTATTTTCTCTATGAAATGAGGCACCATCAACATGTGCACAGACTGCACATGTTGATCTAGAGGTAATGTTTTAGACTTGTGTGTGGGAGGTGCCTGGTTCAGGTCTTGGCCAGGATGCTCTCCTGACTTGTCATTTTTTGTTCTTTTCTTCAGTCCTTCCAGGGAAATACCAAGGTAGTGCCAACCTCAATGACGCCAAGATTACTTCCTTCCAGATCCTTTCCTGTTCATCAGTCATTCTACCATCTGGCAGTATATAGTCTTGATACTGAAATCATCTAACCCACAGAAGAAGTATATACAAGACCTCCTTAGCTCAGGCACATATCACAAATGGCTCTACTGATTCAGTTATCAATATGGCAGATACTTTGTGTGTGCCACAGAAGAACAGTGATGTAATAACGACTTTTTCTGTGTTATGCAGTAGATTGTTCTCTTCAGCCTTTTTATTTTATTTGTTATAGTTTTCTGTGTATTTGAAATGCTTCAGGATCGGAGAAAGATGGTGCCCACAGTGACAAGTGGAACTCGGAAAACACGGGAGCAGAAAGTGATATTTGTACAAAGATGAAAGAGGAGGTCGAAGTACCAAAGGACAGTGTAGACTTTAAAGTGATATACAACAAAAACAAGTATGACGTAAATTTCCTACTTGATGGCACGGTTAGCCAACTGAAGCAACATCTGCAGGATATAATAGGTATTACATTTCTTCTCCAGACAAACACCAGAATGGTACCTGAAATTAGTTCATGTGGTTTATCATCACATCCTTTTCAATTCATTGTTCACTAATTATTCTTTATTTGTTGCTAAATGTTAAATCAGTGAAGAATACATTAAAGTAATCATGTGTTTGAACCTCAAAACAAAAATACTGTGCTTTGTACCTTTCAGCTTTGGACACTTAATGCACTTAATGGCTTTCTTTCACCCCAGTGGTGATTCTTTGTACACATTGTTAACTCTTCACACATCATAACACAATTAATACAGCAAATCTCTTAATAGAAGGCATCAAATGTGTCATACAGCTGCTATGGAAGAGGTTTTATGTAGTCTATCCCTGTGATCATTTGAATATTATTCCAGGAAGTGTTATGGGTTTTCCCATGTCTGTGTTCGCTCAGAAGCAGTTTTTGTATTTCTAGAAGATAGTTCTATGGCAGGGCATGGGAGTTAAAGGGTTGAATGCATTGGTCCAATTTGCCATATATGGCCATATAATCATTCTTTAATTAGTTTCTGTTGAATTAACTTGTGAAGAATATTCATGTGAAAATGATTACGCCTCAGTGTGCAGATGCAATAATAGATTTTCAGACATGGCTTAGAAATGTTATACTTCCAAGTGTTGTTATACTATTTTTACCAAAAATATGGGAGTAATGACATTGTGCTCCAGTTATCTCTGGAGTGTGTTTTCTGTCACCTAGAATGGGAAAGCATTGATCATTTTTTACACTCTGCACTTCAGAAACAGATCCATCTCAGGAGGAAGGTAATTGTTTTAAGTTGGCATTCATAATGATATTCTTCATTGCAGAACATGATACCCTGCAAAATGTGGAACATGTTGTGGAAATTGCTGATGTAGGCTGTAGTCTCTGTAAAGAACTGTGATGTAAGGAAGTCCAAAATGTACTTTGCCATGAATCTTACCATGTGAACAGTTTTGTCTGTTTATATCAAACCCCTGAAGTAGAACAAAAGTGGATCATTGTATTTTTCTTTCAACTGATTCTGAACTGATACAGTATTTTAATAGGATCAAGTTTTTGTTTTTCTTAATTTTTGGATTTTGCAGGAGTTCCTCAGTCAATGCAGAAAGTGATGATAAAAGGTTTAGCGAAAGATGAACGCACTTTGAGAGAGTTGGGTGTTGTAAAAGGCGCAAAGGTGATGGTTGTAGGATCCAAATTGGATGATGTTCTTGCAGTATCGACACCTAGCAAACAGGTATAGATATTTTTAGCATCACTCACTCACTTATGGAGCTGAGCCTTTCTTGAGAAGCCACCAATTGTACAGCTACCCAAGAAATTCCCAGCATTTTATGGAACCTGAAGGTTCATTACCGCATTCACAAGAGCCCTCTACTTGTTCCTATCCTGAGCCAGATTGATCCAGTCCATACCATCCCATCTTGTCTCTCTCAGATCCATTTTAATATTGTTCACCCACCTACGTCTTGGTCTTCCTAGTGGCCTCTTTCCTTCTGACTTTTCCACCAATATCCTATATGCATTCCTCGTCTCCCCCCTTTGTGCTACATGCCCTGCACAGCTCATCCTCCTTGACTTTATTATTCTGATTATATTTGGAGAAGAGACAGCACTGTATACTTAGTTTTCTCTGTGTTTACTGCTACACCAACCTCCTTACTTGCGTCAGTTGAAGTTTGTGTGTTTTTTTTATGGTATCTATATTATCACCCAGTAGATCCACATCATCAGCATAGAACAACAGCTGATGTGTCCCATTTAATTTCAGTCCCACCTGGTTTTCCTGGACCTTCCTAATGGCATATTCTGAAGCAAAGTTGAAAAGGAGTGGCGACAAAGCATCTCCCTGTCTTATACCATTCTGAATAGTAAATTTATCAGACAAATGTTTACCTATACAGACTTTACTATAAGTTTCGTTTAAACACATTTTAAGTAGCCTGACTAGTTTCATGGGTATCCCAAACTCAATCAGAATATTGTACAATACTTCCCTCATAAGTGAATCTTAGGCTTTTTTGAAGGTCATGAATGGCTGATGTTTTGTCTCATTGTACTCCCATTTTTTCTCCAATATCTGACGAATGCAAAAGATCTGATCTGTAGTTGATCTCTTATGTCAAAACCCACATTTATGATCCCCAATAATTTCATCTATGTCTGGACTTAACCTTGAGAGAAGAATATTGTATAACATTTTGTATGAAATTGATAGCAGTGATATCCCACGATAATTACTACAGTCAGTTTTATCACCCTTCTTGTGAACTGGTACAATAATAGACTCCTTCCACTGATCAGGCAATTTTTCCTTATGCCAAATAGAGGTAATTACCTTAAGGATCTTAGAACATAATATTTCGTCTCTTGCTTGAACAAGTTCTGCCAAAATTTGATCACTACCTTTTCAATTTTGCAATAGCTCTTTCAACATCAAAAGGGCTGGGATCAGGTATTAACAGCTCAGCTGCATTTCTGTCTGCCTAACATCACTGACCCTATGTACATTCAATAAGAGAGAAGTAGTTATTCCACCTGTTCAAAATGTTGTTGGAATCTGCAAGCTGATCACCATTCTCATCCTTTGCTAAGTTACTTCTAGGTTGGTAACCCCTCTTAAAGTCATTTATTCCTCTATACATGTCTCTAACATTCTTGTTTTTACTGTTCATTGAAAGCTCATCAATTGTGTCTTTCACATATTCCCTCTATTTATTCCTGAAATACCTGCCGGTTTCATGTCTTATATTGTTCAGATTATCCCATTAATTTCACTTGGATCCTGTAACCACTGCATTTGTCTTGTTTCTTTTAGTCTAATAATTCTGAACATCCTTCATCAAACCATGGCTTATGCTTCTTCAATTCATAATAACCTAGACTCTCTTTGGCAGAAATTTTGAAAATCTAATAGTTTCCCAAGTTCTTTTGATATCCACCTCAGTGTCTAAATTTTCCAAAGCTGCAAACCTATTACAGATTTCAACATGATACTGCTCTTTACCCACTGCCTCGTTTAATTTCATGAGATTGAATTTCTCCTTATGAACTCTGTGCATTGTTTGTTTACTCTCTGCCAACCTGTCCAAGAAACTTTCCACCATTAGGTAGTGGCCAGTATCACAATCTGCTGTCCTGAATGATCGGACATCAAACATACTTGAATTCTGTCTGCTGTCTATAAAAATATAGTTAATTTGGTTCCGTATCTTCCCATCAGGAGATGTCCAAGTAAATTCATGAATGTTACAATGTGGGAACATCGTACTTTTAACAATAAGATTTTTGGATCTAGCAAAATTTACTACTCTAGCTCTATTATCATTACTAATTTCGTGCAAACCCTCATTCCTGATCATTGGTTTGATAATGTCTTACCTACCTACTTTGGCATTGAAATCTCCTAACAAAATTTTCATTTGGTACTTTGGAAATTTATTAAATACATGTTCTAGTTCTTCATAGAATCTGTCTTTCAGATCATCAGTTTTGTCTTCTGTTAGGGCGTGAACATTCGGAACAGTAATGTCACACCAGTGACCTTTTAGTATTATGTATGACATCCTATCACTAACAAACTCTACCCTCTTAACTGCTGATATGATTCTTTTATGTACTAAAATACCTGTACCTAATTCATGTTTCTTGTTCCCCTCTCCAAAGAAAAATTTATCTTCGCCTGCTGGTTCAGTGCCACCTCTGTCCCATCAGACTTCCTATACTCCTGCTAAATCTATTTTTAGTCTACTTTCCTTATTTAAAAAAAAATAGAAGAAGGCTTATGTATTCACCATGCTGTCTTTGTGTTCCCCCCTACTAACTTTTGAATGCCTGAAGTAACCTTATGAAACTTGGTATGTATATCATGACACCTGAGTCAATCTTAAAGGCATGCTTCATAAATCCTTCCAGTCAGTCTGTATGTCTATTGCCCTACTGTTTCAAGGCAGTCGCTTCGTAAAATTGTTACTGCAGCATTGAATACACATGCAACAATAGAAGAACTGTTGAACAAGTCATTTTCTCTGCGGTCTGTATTGAATCAAAGCAAAGTAGGCAATTAGTTCTTCCCAGAACTTCTTGTTTTAGTATGTTGCTTCATTCTTGCGTACTCAGTTCCATGACATGTTTTAGCCACTAATTGTCCATCATCAAGGTGGAGAGAAGCTTAATTTAGTAAAGGCTGTTATTTAATTAATGTTTCAAGTTGAGTCTGTCTTGCAGGTGTTTAGAAATAAATATTAAAAGGAATCACCACTGAGTATATAAAAGCCGATATTAAAATGATTAAAGCATCATCAGAGCATATATCCATCAGTGAGACCTAAGTGAATCCCATATGGCCATTTTGTGGAAATCATCGCACCAGACAATACATGTTCACATGAGTTCTTATTGTGAAATAAATGAAAGTTGAAATCTTTATTATTTTTGTTCAGGCACCAGTGTGTTCTCATTTTATTTGTTTAGATTGGCCTGCAAGTTCTATGTTTTTATTTGGAAATGGTGTTCATGATGATATTCTTTGCATTGGTTTCCCTTATGCACAGTTCTGCAAGTCATCAAATCAGCCTAATAGATACCCACACTTGTGGTGGCCTCGATATAGGATAGAAGTCTGTCTCGAAGCATTTGTGATCACATGCAGTGACCATATATTGGTGGAAATTGGAAGGAATTAGCATATGGCATTCAGACATCTGCCTAGGAATAATGAATAATTAGAATGGAAATGTTTGCAGTCTGTACGAGTAAATATGCATTTCAGTTGACACATGTTGAAGATGTGTACTGTACTTCCGTACTTGATAGCCGTTGTTTAAACAAAATTGTCAGTGCTGTAAAGTCTCAATACTGACATCATTGATTAACAAACTTTAAAAGAAAATTTTCTCAGTTGGTGGCATTTTTATTTTTGTTTAATTTTGTTTTTGGCTTAGTTGTTTGTTCTCTGTTCCTTTTTTTTTTATCTTGGTTCAGTGTCTGCTATAACTGTTCTCTATAACTTGTTATTCCATTCAGTATGTACTGAAATATATCAAAACATATTTTGCTCTCTCAATAAAAATAGTAATCCATGTTGCTGATTCAGGCCAAATTACTTGACAGTTTTAATAAGAACTGTATAAGGGAAAGTTTAAGGGCTGTTTTGGTTTAGCAAAGAAGTATTGTTGGCAGCACTGAGAACATGTAAGTGTTACAGGATTTGCAAGATGAGAAGACAGCTGCAGCAAGCAAGGAACCATTTTGCAAGCAGAAACAACACAGGAAAGTGTTAGATAAAGGTGTACCAGAGGATGTCATGCCAGGAATTAAGAACTCCAAGGTATTTATAGTTGAACGTTGAATGCTGAACATTTCTTGCAGAAGTACCATTCTTGGCTTTCCATTGTCAGACTGTTCAAAGATATATTGTTTAAACTACTGGCAGCATTTTTTAATAAAGCACAGGTAAGTAAAATAAATAGTCATCAGGTTTTAATGAAATTGATGAACAGATATATACTGTCAAGGTATGAATTAGATTACGGTGTCCAACTAGGACTGGTATTTGGTTCAGTTTGCAAGACCTGTGCTTCTTTCAACATATGTGTGGCATTCTTTGTACGTATATTGGGCTGATTTTGATTTTTCAAGCTGACCTTGTGTTAGGTTATATTTGTGCTCCTTAATGCACCTTCTAAAGGTTTGCTTGTCTTGGCAATGTAACATCTGCCACAATCAAAAGAACACAAACTCCGTGGCCTGTAGTCTGCAAACGAACTATACTGACCGAGCGACCTTCGCCTGTTGGCAAAGTTAGTGCCAACTTTAGAGGATAGTGTGCGTCACAGTCACGTGGGATATTGTACACACACTGCTTCGTCTGCTGACCATCTTTTAACTAGTCATGTTCTCATCAGTGCCCCACAGATTGTATGTTTAGTTTTGAAAATGGTCCTGACATTGAAATGCTTTCCAATATATCTGAATTTTTTGGAGATACCCATAACATATGGGATGATGACTGTACCCTGGTATATTATATCTGAAGAAGGGTGGTTGCTTCTTGATGGCTTCATTATGGAGTCACCAAATTCCTGTGGGTGTTCATTAAGCATGAGATCATGTCTTATGTTCTTAATTTCATTTTTGAAATCTGTCTGATCTTGACATGTCACCTTGGCTTGACTGATGGAACTATGAGTGACTCCCCTTTTCACATGATTTGGGCCGTTAGACTTTTAGTGCAGATAAATGATCTGTATGAGTAGGTTTCTGGTACACTTTCCTTGCCAATTTAGGACCACTCTTCATGACCAAAATGTCCCAGAATGGTAGGGCATCATTAGCTTCAGTTTCATCATGAATTTGATGGTAGGTCTATGGTGAAGACATAGCTGCAATCTTGCTGGTCCATGTGGCGAGACCATGAAAGTGAAAGCCATATAGCAGATTTGTGGTCTGCTGTCTCCAGTGCTACTTCCCCAGAGTGTTCCATAAATATGTTACTGACCACCACAGATAGTAAGTTTCCCATTGCCATACCCTCTTTTTGCTGATAGAATTTATCCTCAAACTGGAAGTACATAGTTGTTAAACAGATGTCTAGTAATTACAGTATATCTTCCAACTTGTAAGGGTGAGTGTTCTGATAAAGAAGGATCCATATTAAATGTATTTCTTATGACCTGTAAGACTTCTTCCACTAGTATGTTGGTGAGTGGAATGACTTGTACTTCCATAACATAAACATTTTCTTTGATGCATCCCCCTAAGGTAAACAGAAGTGGGTTGAGGTCAGGATAATGTGTCTTGAAGATGTAAAAAGTAAAAAAAAGTAAAGCTATCCCTGTAACAGGCCATGAAGGCCCATAGGGTTGTGAGACGTTAAGGGTCCCACATTACCTTGACAATCGGCTCAAAGATGGTCGTAAGGTTGTCAGCCTTACGCGCCAGCCGCGCTTCACTCCCCAGGAAAATCATTTAATTAATTCCTGGTACTCATTTCTGTTAGAGGCTGAGTAAACGTTGTCAAACTAATTATGCACTTTGAGTGGAAAGTGAGGAGAGGTGCTGTCATGCTAAAAGTACATGCCTGTCAAGACTGTTAAGCAGTATATCCCCCAATAAAAGGAGAAGCATTCTCTCAAGGAAATTAGTATACTGGATTCCAAGGTGATTTGCCATTACGTGGTCCAGTTAGATAATCTTCTATTATTCTAGCGCAGACATTTATGCTAAATTGTAGTGAAATGAATAGTGTAGAATAACATGAAGATTTTCCATATGCCAGTCACATAGGTTGTGAATTGTTCCTTGAATTATTATATATGTTACTATAAGAGTCCACAGTACATGGTACAGGAAGTTAGGGTGATCTACAGATTCGTGTAGAAGCCATTGGCAGAACTGGAGGTGTAGATATTCTTACATGTACACCCATTACTAGGTAACATGTTGGTAAACAAGTTCCCATGAAGACAGATTCTTCGTAAGCAGTCTGTTGCTAGGTTATGCAGCAATAGATGAGGCTATGCTTTCTGTGTCATCCGCACTGAACAGCGCTGAAACAGGTTATGCAACTCATTTCTAAGCAACAGCTCAGTAAACACACTTCCCCATAAGCGGTGACATCATCAACAGTAGAGATGGTGTTTTCTGGGGGTCTGTGCAGAGTGCTTATAAGAGAAGTTAATGCAGTGGCAGAGTTAGTTCAAGGGGGCAGTTACTAGTCAGTCATAAGCTGGAGGACTGAGTCCAGAAGTTCGGAAATTCCAGAGTGACTGAAGATGAAATAGCAAGAAGACTTCATGGGAAGTTGAAGTGCTAGTCTCTGTGTTGTGATCTGTTTCCAGCAGATGACTAGTGAAGACGTACAGTCCTGGTGCATGTAAAACGGTGCATTAGAAATTGTGTATATTAATGATAGTGCTGTATTTAAGTGTGATTAAGAGAACTTGTAACCAAGGAGCTAATAAATCCAAACCAGAACCCATTATTTTTGTCACTCCTACCCCCTCCACATGACAATATTGTCCCCTGGCCCTAGCCATTGTATATGTTGTGCATGGAAATGTTGCACCTGCCCTCATGCAGTGTATGTTGAAGTGCACTCAGAGAGATGTAATGTCACAAGTGAAACATCTCAACTAACATTTCCACTCAGTTCTGCACATCATGTCTCTTGTGACCGGCCAGTGCACCTGTTTGCTCAAACTGCAGTGTGCCCTTGCGTACACATGCATGTCAGGTCGGCTTGGATATTGGTGCTGGTATTCTCTTGATGCATCTCTGTCATATCTACTGCAAACACTGCTCATGGAATACATATCTATGTACATCGCATTAGTGACTCATGCCATCTCATTTTGCCATTGAAAGTAATTCAGGTCATATTATTTCCGTCTTGGTACATGAAGGCTCCACTGCACACATACAAAAAAATCAGGACAGAAAGTTTGAAATGCCATAACTCTGAAATGGTGTTGAATCAGGCAAGTGCTTGTGTACATTTTTGGCTCCAAATTATCTGCTACAGCCTCATAAAATTTTACCGTAAGACTTTTAATTGCCCTGTTTATGGTATGGCCTCATTGATTCAAATGGTTTGGACTCAGAAATGCAGACTTTGAAAACAAATTTGAATGATGTAGTTTCCAGTGTGAACCTACTTGTTAAGTATAGTAGCTGACACTAATATGCATGTTGTCATTAAGAACTATTAGTCAGTTTTTCTCTATTTAAGAGAATTTTGGCAGTAAGGTCTTGCATGGGGCAAGGAACTGGCAGTGAGTGAGTCATGTCTCATTCCTTGAAAGACTAGGGAGACATGAAAGGTGTCCGCTGGAACCTCCCTTACAGGGCTATTTTTCTGCCACGTAATGTGTTGCCCACTATGCCTTCAGTTCTTTCATATGTGTGTAGGATGCTCTTCCTCCATACCCACTGTCTGGAATGCTGAATAAATCCGGAGGTAAGGTACGTCTGACGTTCAAGATGGAGCAGGATCAGGTATGGATTGGCACCAAGGAAAGGACAGACAAGATCCCCATGAACACAATCAAAGGTGTGGTCAGTGAGCCCATAGAGGGACACGAAGAATATCATGTCATGGTAAGTGATATGTAATGGCCCTTGGCAAGTAGTTGGTTAGCTTAACAGGATCATGCAAGAGCTTCTCTGTATATCTTTAAGTGTATGTGTGGTAGCACTAAACCACCAAGTAATAAAGCTTTCAGCTTGTATTTAAGATAGTCCCTGGTTTGAATCTTAGATAGGGCACCAGCTCTCCTGACTGAGGTTTCACTGGTTTTCTGATGTCCCTCCTGGCAAATGTTTGGATAGTACTGTGAATAAGGCATGTGGATTGCAGTTTCAGTAAGCACCCATGTAATGTTCCTAATATACAGTAGGTACAGTGGAACCAAACCCCCATGTAATGTTCCTCATGTTCGGTAGGTACAGTGGAACCCCCATGTAATGTTCCTCATATTCAGTAGGTACAGTGGAGAGCCCACATGTAATATTTTTCATATTCAGCAGGTACACTGGAGCCCCCATAATATAACTCATGTTCAGCAGGTACACTGGAACCCCCATAATATACCTCATGTTCAGCAGGTACACTGGAACACCCATAATGTACCTCATAATCAGCAGGAACAGTGGAACTCCCACATAAAGTTCCTCAATTTAAGGTTTTCCTATGTTTAACATACACTTTTAATGAATGCAAGTCACATTTGCAGTGTTAGATTTCTTCCATTTAAGATTTTCCTCAACATAATGTTAAAATCAACTGGTTACCATTGAAACCTGAATTGGGGGTGTCACCCAGTTTGAATCTCAGCTGGGACGCCTACTATCCTAACAAGTTGCTGTGATTTTACTTTGCCCCTTCAGGCAAATGCTGAAATAATGCTGTAAATTAGGCCATGGCTACTTCCGCATACCTTCCTGATCATATTTCACTGTCATTTGTTATGAGTGTTCTGTTAACAGATTCTTTAGTACAATCACTCAAGGTTTTTACAAGATGTTCATTTGTCCTAAATTTTGTATGGAAGTTATATAAAATATGGGATTTATTATCTTTTATTAGGATATTTGAGATGGTGTTCCCATGTTTCACCTCTAAATAGGCTGGCTTCTTCTTGTAAACTAGAATTGAATGACTTATGATACATGTATTGAAGAATTTTAATATCTGTAGGAGTTATGCTGTTGGTACTTTATGCTCTGTGGTTCTCAGGCCCTTGGCTTCCTTTATGATACCCATTCTTCTATGTCATTTTCCTTTTGCCTCTTATGTCTTCCACCTCGAGCTCTCATAAATTGTTCTTTGCATCTTTTGGCCATCTTGATGGTTGCTTCTACCTTCTGGTTTACTTTCAGTAGTTCTCAGCCATGCATGTTTGATCCAGTCTGATCATATGCTCTAACCACCCCAAACTTCAGCTTTTAATATTTGATACGAGATCACAGCTGCTATGTAATTCCCTCAATTCTTCTTGAATAGTTTTGGTTCTCCAGTTCCCTTGTGCAGTTGCTGCCCTCTCCCGTGCACTTAACCTTATCCTTTTCAGTCACGGACATCAGAACTGGCTTTGTCATTGTTTTGTATATGTTAATTTTCTTGCTCGCAGTTCTAGATTTAAAAATGTGTAGGAAGTCATGACAACAGGTGGCTGGCGTGATTTTCATCATGATACTTTCACTTAACTTCATTTTTCCCTCTTCTCTGAGTACCTAAACATTTGAACATTTTCTAATCTTTTCAAACTCATGTCCATCCACATTTAAATCTTGTTTAAGCTTCAGTAAGTCCTTCATAAATTTTTGAAGTAGAGTGAAGAATGATTCCCAACATGATAAAGCTAAAGCTGCCCCATGCTTATACAGGGTGATTCAGAAAGATGGACACAATTTCAATTGGCTATATTTCCTGAATTATGTGTTGCATTTGAATTCTGTAAATTACATTTGATTATACATACATGGAAGTTTATAGATGTTCAATGTACCCCCTCTGGCTGCACGGATAACATCTAGACGGTAGCTGAATTCATTCTGCACTCGATGACAAATATCTTGCGTCACTGAGTTCACCGCAGCTGTGATATGGTTTCTTAGGTCATTCAAATTTGTGGGAAGAGGAAGTACGTAAACTGCATCTTTCACGAATCCCCACAGGAAAAGTCGCAGGGTGTGAGATCAGGAGACCTCGGTGGCCAGAACTGAAGTGCCAGGTCTTCATTCCCCATGCGACCTATCCATCGTTGAGGTAGAGATTCATTCAGGAAACGTCGAACTTTCAGGTGCCAATGGGGTGGAGCTCCGTCCTTCTGGAAAATGTGATCTCCTGAATCTTCATTCATTTGAGGAACAAGCCAGTTTTGCAGCATTCTAAGATGCGTTACTCCAGTAACCGTGTTTTCATCAAAAAAGAAATGGTTGACTTCATTGGGCTACGCTCAAAGCTCACCCGAATGCGCTCCACGTTCTCCTCCGATACACGCGATCGGCCCGGGCTTTTACCCTTACACAGAGAGCCAGTTTCATCAAATTATTTATTCCAATGATAAATGCTCTTCCTCGTTGGAGGTTGGATGTTAAACTTACGACGAAATGCACGCTGCACCGCAGTCACGGGACTCACTTATACTGAACTCACAAATGCAAAAAATCTTGTTTTGCATAGTAGGCATCTCACTTACAACTGACGGGGTGCTGGAGTGCTCTAGCGGAAGTATTAGAAACTTTACAACATCCTCTTTCAAATGTACTTTACAGAATTCAAATGCAACATGCAGTTCAGGAAATATAGCCAATTGAAATTGTTTCCATCTTTCTGAATCATGCTGTATAAGTAAGCACGATGCCATGAAGGTGTATCGGTGGTGGCTGTGTAAATCATGTGTTCTTCACCTCAACACTAGTTGGAGGTGAGTGGTTAGCTTCACTCCACGGCCACTTAACCCCTGGTGGAAGATCCCCCCCTGCCCATTGTATTGGAGGCTAGGTGGGATCCATAACAGGTCTGTACAACGTGGAGAGGAGAAAAATCTTTCCCTTACTGGGACTTAAACTCCAACCCATCAGCTCTCCAGCCCGTACATAGCCAGTTGCTCTACTGACTGAGCTATCGTTGCTGATTGTAAGAACAATAAGAAGAAGAAAGACTGTGCCTGAATTTGCTTGTACAGATGCAATAAATATGCATATTTTGTACCTGTATTTGTTTGACACATATTACTAATGTTCAGTTCTGGGTGCTTCATTGTTCCTGGTTTCTTCCTAGGGAATTCAGCTCGGTCCAACAGAGGCATCTAGGTACTGGGTGTACTGGGTTCCAGCACAATATGTTGACGCCATCAAGGATGCCATCCTTGGAAAGTGGCAGTACTTCTGACGCTTTTTTCCCTGTTCTAAGTCTGCATCGTCATCAGAATGTGGTATGGTGAAGTGCGTTGGTTTGCCTGTGTGGGAAACGGGACAGAATTCATGTATGGGTCTTCCAAATCAAAATATAGAACTGTTATACTAATATACGAGTAAAAACGTGAAGAAATATATTTAGTTTGGAGGCCTGATTGGTTAATTTATACATCACTTTTGATGACAAATATGTGCAATGGGTGAATTTTGCAGCCTTCTTTGTAACAATATTGACTTCTCTGTGCTCAGTGTTTCATATTGACAGAAGTTCTGAAGCAAACTTGGTACCGGTGTATATGTGTGTGGGTGTGTGGTTGATGGTATTGAAAATTGTGTTTCTACTTTTATTATTTTATTTTTTAATCATGCCATCCTTAGTTGTATGGATATAATACAAATAAATACAAAATCATGAGGGATCTGAAATTATGGCTGTCAATGGAAGAGTTTAAATGAAGAATTGCCCCGGAATGTCTTGGTGTTGGTGAGGCTAGTCATTTGTAGATTGAACCAAAGGGGTTGAGTTTTAAAAGCCGTAGTCATATGGCTGTTAGATGGAAGTGGACACTTTGTTTTTAATATTCTTCATTAATAAAAAAGTCTGATAATATTTTAAAAAATATTTATACTGTAATATGTGCATCACTGTGCAGGTAAATTAGTTATTTGAAACTGCATGAGTTTATTTAATTTTGCATTGCTTTCAGGCCTCATTGATGTGTTTAAACCATCTCATTACTAAATTGTATCATCAGTAACTGATATAACTGTGAAAATGGTATGATTCATGGGGATATTGTAAATAAATGCTTTTGTCTGATTGTTTGATGATATACTCTTTCATCAGCTGGCATTGCGAAATGATTATCTTGTATGTTCAAAAGTGAGTTGATGTACATGTGCTGCAACTGAAACAAATATAAAAATTTTCTTAAAGTTTGGAGCGAACCGTGAGAGAAGTTTAAGCAACATTTGATGTTCAATTGTTGGATACTTACTATATTCCAAGATCTTAGTAAGTTTGTTTCTCAATTTCTGTGCTGTGTAGCATTTGGATTAATAATTTGAAGATGCGAATTAATAAATTATCTTCTTTGTTAGTTAAATTTAGAAAATAAACTTAACCCATAGTTGTGTATGTGAGCCAGGGTAGTGCAGTCGGTACAGTGTCTGCCTACGGGCTGGATGACTGAAGTGTCGGAGTTCGAGTCCCAGTGGAGTCGAGAATTTTCTGTTCTTCACATCCACACCAGCTATGGGGCTCACTCAAACTCCCGTCCAATGGATTCCAGGGGCTCTTTCCCTGGGGGTAAAGCGGCAGGGGGCATGAAGCTGACTACTGACCTCCAACTAGAGTCGAGGTCAAGAACATGTGGATATATACATCCACTCCACCATACGCCTTCACAGCATAGTGTTTAATTAGTTAAGCACAGAGACAACTTTACCTTTACCATATTAGTGTATAATGAATTAATGTGCTGGACAAACCCATATACAAGAAAACCTGTAGACTGGCTACATCTCATAGAAACACAATTCTGTCAATAATTTTCTTTAAGAAGAACATTTCATTGGTGTTGGATTTGAGGTTCTCAGAGTAGTGACTGTGAAGAGTACTATTTAGTGGGATATAACATTGTGCAGTCTGTTAGAAGAAATTCACAGATGTCTCAGAGGAATATACTGTCTCCATCTTGAGAGTGCTGTGCTTGCTGCTACATCTTGGTTGTTGCTTGCACATCACACTCTTTGACCCTGAAAATGTAAGCTAGTCATTCCTTTAAAATATTGTCATCTTATACCCACCAGACTGCATGGTGTAATATCCCAACAGACAGCACTCTGGATGTCGTTGTTATGTTTGTATCAAGAATCTTCCTGTTGCATGATATAAAGAGGTCTGTCTGATTTTCTGTGTACATTGTTTTTCCAATATTTTTACCCCTCGGTGTTATAAAGCAAAGGTTGTGTTTGTAACAAATTCATATTGTTTACTGTAAAATTGAAAAGTCATGAAACTGGAATTTTTGAGTGATTTGTGTTTCCTATTATAGATCGATTGCATTAAGGGACTACAGTGCAAAAGTTCCAGGAAAGAAATGCCAGTCAGTACAAGAATATCTTACATTTATTGTGGTCTCTGTTTCTTTCCAGAAGTTACTCTTATCAAGAGAAAATAGATGTAAACGGAACAAAAATAATGTGACATATTTCTTTTATTTGAACTTCATAATATGATTGATTGCTAGTTGGAATTTTACCATGAAGTGTCCAAATGGTCACTGAATTAGTTTGTAGTACAGGTAACCACATAAAATTTTACATGATTTGAAGTTTTCATGGCAAGTAAGCACACTGAGGTATTCCTGGACAGTCAGCTATGACAAGATGGAATGGAATGCAGTCATTCTTCCATCCTTACAAGGTGACCGAGGCAATGACAGTTTTTGAATATGTTGGAAATCCATTCCAACTTGATGGCACTGGCTGTCTGGAAATACTTCATCCCATCAGACTTACTTACTAGATTATGATTCTTACTTTGTCACTGTAATGAACAAAAATACAGTAGAATCCTATAAGCATAGGTGCAGTTCACTGAATTGGAAGTGAACTGGTGAAGATTTCTGTCCTTTGGGAAGTAATTCCATGTGATTTGTTCTGTGTCAATCAACAGGTTTGGAGAAACATATGCTCTCCATCCTCAAAGTCAAAGTATAAGCCACGCAGAAACAAGCATGAAGTAGGCATCAAGTAGAATATACTTATATAGATCCTGTGATATTTTGCAGGCAATTTGCACAGCCTCGTGCTGGTTTCTTGCTTGGCTGACTTTTCAACCCTGAAAATGGAGGCAACATGTTCCTCTGAAATGTCAGTAGACATTCACTGGACTACATGGTGCTATGTCCCAAACAAACAAAAAAAAAAACTCAGTGTCCTGTAGTCTGCAAGCAAACTATATGACCTAGCAACCACCGCTTGTTGGCAAAGTTAGTGCCAAATTTTTGCAGATAGAGGGTTTTGCGTGGCCAGTGCAATGAATCCCCATGGCTGTTAATTTCGGTTTTCTAGACTGGAGCTGCTATTTCCTTGAAATAACTTGAAATAATTTCCTTATGAGGCTGAGTGCACCCCGCTCCAGACCCACTACTTCTCAGAAAATCTGGTAGCACTGGGTATCGAACCTGGACCTCTGGATCTGTAGCCAGGAACTCTGACTACTAGACCACAGAGGTGGTTGGTGCTATATCCCAGAGGATGGAATTCTTCGTAGTCACCACTGTAAGATAATGCAGTGCTCATTGCCAGTTATAGAGGGATTACTAACATTGCTTAAGCCCAGCCATTACACTTTTGTTTTCATGAACCTGGCAGCAGTTGCAGGATGGGTAAAGTAAGTGAGCACTTCGAGAATTCTCATTGTAATAAATCTTCCAGTTGTTTGAAATTTAAATTCTTTATATCAGTTAAACAGTAGTCTTATATATTTACAATGGCCTGATGTCAGAATTAATTAAACTAATTATGTAACTTTTTGAACAAAGTTATGTTAAATTTGCTGAATTTCTAATTTTGCAATTACAAATCATGTTCCATATGAATTCAGAGAATTCTGCATTACTATATGCATGAAGCATATATGAAATTGTAACAACATACTTTTCAAGAAAATGACATTATTGTTTGGAATTTGTGATAACAATGATAGCTGTCAAAGAACTCTTTCTTGTATCTGATGCCATGTAACCCGTTCAAGTTTACTGACGTTTTGGAGGGACATTCTGGCCCTCTGCTCAGGTTGAAGATTAAGGCTTGCTAAGTTTACTCTGTGGCTTTGAAGGTGGAGCCAGTGTGTGCTGAAATGCTTATAAAATGTCTACCAGACTGCATAACATTCCATCCCAGAAGATATTGCTCTTCAAAATTATTGTTATTTATTGTATTGTCACGTGTCTGGGATTCCGTGACAAATAATTAATGGGTTGCAACTTTATTGGACAATTCATCCACAATTGCAGTTCCAGCCACTACAATTACCCTGACATAACTTCTTCCAGGCGATGTGACCTAACTAGCCCATCGTCTCTGTTCACTCCATTTTTCTGATCTGTTGTCTCACTTCTCTGATCTCTCCTTTTCTGAGCTCATCTGTCCAAGTCCAAGTCACATTGTGACTGACAGTCAGTCAGTCAGTCAGTCAGTAAGTCTTTCATGACCAGATATTACTGTTTGACAGTTACGGTCTTACTTTTGTGGAATGCCCTCTCTAACGAGAGGACGGGTCTGTCTTTTACATATACTGTTGGTCCTTTCCAGTGCAATCTTTCTCAGGTCTGAGTCCCTTGGGACTCACAGCCATATTTTACTGTCTCACATTTGAGACTTCCCCTTTCATCGCCTCCTACAACTCACAGGGTCACAGTGGAGGTATTCGACTCCACCTCCACACCGCGACTCGAGCTCTTCTGTCGCAATTTACCCTCTTAAAGTAGATCTTTGCGTACTAAATAGCAGTCATCTTGTTGAATAGTTCAGTTTTCTTGCTGTCATGCTGACGACTCGTTGCTGTGAGAATACATGTTTACCTAGCCATTGATTTGCAATGGGTGCTGTTGTCATGCAACTGCCTCAAACAATTCATTACCTAGGAAATGACACCTCTCTATGCAGTGGGTTCACCTGTCAGTGTGTTGTTGATCTCATATATATCGTGTCCTAAAGGAGTTTGTACATCAACAGTATTAAATGTAGAATAATAATTGAGTTCCAGTTTTTAGTTATGTCGTTACTCACCAGCCTGTTACTGGTTACTGATTCTGTGTTCTTGTGTCTGATAGGTAATGAAAATGTTTTGACTGAAGACAGTCACAGATTATAAAAGAAAAAAGTATCTTGAAGAACCCTTTGTGATGCAGCATGAAAGACTGAGGAGTGTTCAGAATATTTTGTCATTGCATATACACATTGTACTTCAAGAATATTCCAATTCTGAAGAAGCAGCAGCTGTGTAGCAAAGAACTGTACTTTGCTTTCAGCGGCATTTATTAGAATTCTGAGGTTATGTAATAAAAAGAAACTGGACTGCTTACAGGATATTAAAATAACAACAGAATTGGATAAATTCATTTCATGAAACTCTTCTGATGTATTTAGTAGAACTTTTAGATTGGCTTTCTAATTTTTCAGTATTTGCTTGCTTAATGTTAGTATAAACAGATTTGTTAAAGTAACTGTTAAACTGTCAGTTATAACAATGTGTGTTCAGGTTGCAGTATTGTGGGTTGTGACATAATATAACCTTGTAGACAGATGCTGACATGGTTTTGTCTTCTTAGTTGAAGTGTAAAGGGGGGAAAGAAGGAAGTGGGTTATTTAGGCAAGTTTGTAAGGAAAGTGGACACTCAAACCTGTGGGAGGAGATGGGCTTAATTTTCCCACTGGCCCAGATCAGGCTCCATTTATTCACCCCTCTCTTGTGTCTCCATAACCCCCCTCATTGCATCCTGCCTGTATAACACCAGCCTGCACACTTAAGTTCTGAGACACTATGTTACTCTGAAGGATCAGTTTCTACCTACAGGATTTCACAATGTCACAACACAGAACACAGTAATCTGAAAATGGCTACAGATTTTTTGTTGGTCATTAGTTGCATATGAAAGGAATATAAAGAGTATATTCTAAAGGCTTCTGATATTTGTGCATGACAACCAGGATTACTGGGTTTTTTTACTTTGTCATCTGGTATCCTAAAGAACAGCATTTTGGAAACTCCCAACTCTTCACCTCAGAACAGAAACAGATGCAGTTTTCATA